GAACTCAGGAAACTCTTTAATACTTAACACCACCCATTGGCGTGAAAGGTATTCCAAACCAAGCGCCCCCTCCCTTTCCTCTGGAGTCTCCACCTGACTGGAGTTCCAGACCTCATCTGTTCCACAACAGCTGCACCCCGCCCCCCTGCTGCGTGAGGAATAGCAAACCAAGCGCTCCCTTTTTTAGCTGAGCAAAGCAGCAATAAATAAATAAAAATAAAAACAACAAGCAGCTGCATAAATCTGCTCCAGTTAAAAGTTAAAACCTCCCACTAACTCCACCTCCCTCAGAGGATGCGAGGAGTCCCAAACCAAGCGCTCCCATGGCCCTGAAGCTGACAGCTGACAGCTGAGCCCGCAGTCCCCGCCGTGTAAACGCCCACAGCACAGCTTCATGCAGAGCAGCCGAACAAACGCACACAAACACAATAACCTCCCACCCGGGTCTGTAATGCAACATAAATCAAGCGCTCCCTTACCTCTGGGGCAGCTGGGCCTGCTGATCACCTGTTAACACCCCCCCACACACCTTGTTCCTGTGGCACAACACACTCCACCAACAAAACAAACACTGTCTCCACCCTTCCAGGCCCATTATTGATCAGAAATGAAGCTCCACCTAACTGTAAATCCAAACGCACCCACAGCTGATTTCCTCCACTGTCACCTCCCCCTGGCTCTGTATCACATCCCAAACCAAGCGCTCCTTGTCTCTTACCCTCCATTCTTGCACACAAAGTCGGCAACAACTAACTCCCCCTCTCCTCACAAACCAAGTGCTCCCCTCCCCTCTGGGGCTGTTTGATTTATCTTTCATTTCAAACTTTCTGCTAATGTGCAATCTGAGGTTTTTGCCAAACACGACTGCATAACCAACCTCCACCCCCCGGTGTATTTACCACCCCTCTCTCCCCCTCAGTTGCCTCCTTGCTGTGCATCACAAACCAAGCGCTCCTGTGATTACCTCATGACCGGAGCTTCCTCTTCAGATCTACAGAATCTTTTCAGTTTTTCAAAATCAAACCAAGCGCTCCTCTCCCCTCACCTGGTATGTAAGCCCAACACTAAACAAGCGCTCCCTTGATTTACTCAGCTCAGCTTTACAAATCAAACCAACCCCTCCTCTCTTCCTGTCATCCATCACAATCCCTCATGCATTGCGAAACAAGCACTCCCTTCCCCTCCAGAGTCTCCACCCTCCACAACCAACAGCATATGGGCCATCACAAACCAAGTGACTTGATTCCCTCAGCTGGCATGTGGAGCAAACCAAGCGCTCCCTTCGTCATCTCAAGAGCGGGAACTTCACATCCAGAAACTCGAGTTATTTGTTTTGTTCTCGCTCTCCTTCTTCCATCAAAGCTAGCATGTGGTGCTTTACAAATCAAGCGCTCCCCTTTGTCGCCTCAGTTTCCCCTGCATGCACAACCATTGTGTGCTTCTTTCTGCAACTAAATCAAACTAACCCCTCCCGTCTTCCCATTCTAGACTTGTTCCCTCAGCTGGAATGTGGTGCAAATGAAGCGCTCCCTTTTGTTTCCTCAATTGTGGGAGCTTCACATCCAGAAGACTCTGTTGTTGTGTTGTGTCTCCTACTTCCATCCAAGCTGGCACGTGGTTCATCACAAACCAAGCGCTCCTTTGATTAACTCAGAACCCTGTCCCCCAACACAAAACAAGCGCTCCCTCTTAAAGTGGAGTCTTTGTTCAGCACCACCCTTCTGATTCTGCAACATGTTTATAGGATGAGGCTGTAACAAAATCAAACCAACCTCCACATAGACCATCTCACCTGAGCTGGCATGTAGTGCATCACAAACCAAGCGCTCCCTTTATTACCTCAGAACCCGGTGCTTCCCCACGTCCACATTTATTCTGCAACCAAATCTAACAAACCCCTCCTCCTGTCCCCTCCCTCTGCCTCCCACCTCTACCTCCACTCTATCCACTGATGTATCACAAACCAAGCGCTCCCTTCATTACCTCACTGCTGGAGCTTCCCTCCACACACACACACACACACACACACACACACACACACAGACACACACGAGCATCTTGTGTTTTTCTCTGCAACAGAATCACCCAACATGCCCCCCCCCATTATCCCCTTATCTCCATCTTCATTAGCCCCTCTCTCCTGGCGTGCAGTGCATCACAAACCAAGCGCTCCCCTTTCAGCCCCTCACATCAGCAGCATCTTTTCTGCAACACAAAGTGGAGCTGCAACAAAATCAAAGACCCCCCTCACCCCCCCCCCATGTGGACCCCTCTCCTCTCAGCTGGCATGTGATGCATCACAAACCAAGCGCTCCCTTTTACCTCCAGACCATCTGAAGCCCGCAGCCCCTCTTTCACATCATCCTGTTCTTTATCCCGCTCCCACAAAACCAAACACACCTCCCTATCACCCCCCCCCAACCCACCTACCATCTCTCCACCAGTATGAAACACCGGGACACACCGGGACACACCGGGACACACCGGGACCGGGTCTTACCTCTGGAGCTGCTGAAGGCGGTGTACCAGGACAGGGAGACCAGCCCGCACAGCCCGAACAACAAGACCGTCAGGAAGGAGACATTTCGGAGCCTCATCTCCGGAGCCCCGGGAGCATGTCCGCACCGAGAGGGGGGAGGAGAGGGACGGACGGAGGGAGGGATGGAGACAGAGGGAGGGGGGGCGGGAGGAGGCAGGTAGAGAGAGAGAGAGAGAGTGAGAGAGAGAGAGAGAGAGAGATACAGGTAGACACAGGGAGAGAGAGACACGGTGAGAGACCGGAGAGGCGGGCGGAGATGTTTCTGTCTGAACAGCAGCAGCGAGACTGAGAGAGAGAGAGAGAGAGAGAGAGAGAGAGAGAGAGAGAGGAGGGGAGGAGACAGAAACAGGTAGAGAGACACTGAGAGAGAGAGAGAGAGAGAGAGGGTGAAGGGGGGTGAGAGGGTGAGGAATGGGGAGAAAGAATGATTAAACATAAAATAATCTTTATTTCATTCAGGAAATTGAATCAATAAATAATCAAATGAAAGAACCGTTAGCATACAGACAGCTAACCGTTTTATTTTATTAGAATTTTATTTTAAATATTATTTTATGTTTTTTATTTTTATTTTTAATTCGAGCAGAAATATTCTCGTCTGAAGTAACGGACGCTGCAGTTCCTCTAACGGCCACTAGAGGCTCCATATTACAATAATAACAGTTTACACAGTCTTTGTGACTGAAATAATAATAACAATAATAATAAATATAACTTTATTTATCTATTATTTATAAATATAAAGGTGATCAGGTTCCTGCAGGATCAACAGCAACAAACGAGGTTAATTAATTCTGTGTTTGAATATTTGTCCATATAAATAATTATTGTTTTATTTATATCTGGTTGGTTTTATGTTCAAATATTTGAACAGAAGTTGTAACAGGAAGAAGTATGGAGGCCATTTAATGTCACTACAGGAAGAACACAGGTTCAATAATAATAATAATAATAATAACGTCAGAAACATGAATCAGCAGCAAACTGACGATCAAAATGAGGAGAAATAAAATTATTGTTTGTTGTTATAATGTTTTTTATTATCAGTTTAGTTTTGACACCATTGAACCTATAAATGAGTTTGTTCTGTCGTTAAGAGAGCGAACAGCGCCACCTGTAGGTCAAAGCTGGGAAAGGATTAAAGGAGCCAGTTGAACACAACCAGCTGCAGCTTTATTGATTTTAATTTCATCCTCAAACATGTTTTTAGTCACTTTTTTAGTCTCCGGCCTCGATTTCCCAGAAATGATTAAAAACTCATGAAGAAATAAATGAATTAGTAAAGATTTTATTCATCAAATCAAATCAAATTTTTCTGTCTCCGTTGTTTTTAAACTTTCTGTTTGTTTCACCTAAATTCAGTAAAAACTGCGTCTGATCAGCTGATTGAAACTCTGATTTTATTTGTTTGTTAGTTTCAGAAAAACTTCAGAAAGTTCAGAAATTGATTAAAACAAAATATAATTAGCTACCTCTAAAGTTCTCTGATTTTTCATTTTATTTATTTTTTAAACACATAGAAATATTAAAACAATTACAAAATTATCCTGTAAATGTCTGATGTAAATTACTGTTAAAAAATAATTATTATTCTTTATATACATTTTCAGCTAAAAACTGTATTTTTATGATAGAAAATTACTGTAATTTCTGTTATTTTACTGTAATTTTCTGTTATTTTACTGAAATTAACAGTTATTTTACTGTTATTTCCTGTTATTTTACAGTATTTTCGTTATATTTCTGTTATTTACTGTATTTTCTGTTATTTCACTGTAATTTTCTGTTATTTTACTGTATTTTCTGTTATTTTACTGTAATTATCTGTTATTTTACTGTTATTTTCTGTTATTTACTGTAATTTTCTGTTATTTTACTGTATTTTCTGTTATTTTACTGTAATTTGTGTTATTTTACTGTATTTTCTGTTATTTTACTGTAATTTCTGTTATTTTACTGTTATTTTCTGGTATTTTACTGTTATTTTCTGTTATTTACTGTAACTTTCTGTTATTTTACTGTATTTTCTGTTATTTTCTGTTATTTTACTGTAATTTGTGTTATTTTACTGTAATTTGTGTTATTTTACTGTATTTTCTGTTATTTCATCTGTTATTTTACTGTAATTTTCTGTTATTTTACCTGTTATTTTACTGTAATTTTCTGTTATTTTTCCTGTTATTTTACTGTATTTTCTGTTATTTTCTGTTAATTTACTGTAATTTCTGTTATTTTACTGTAATTTCTGTTATTTTACTGTAATTATCTGGTATTTTACTGTTATTTTCTGTTATTTACTGTAACTTTCTGTTATTTTATTGTATTTTCTGTTATTTTCTGTCATTTTACTGTAATTTGTGTCATTTTACTGTAATTATCTGGTATTTTACTGTTATTTACTGTAACTTTCTGTTATTTTACTGTATTTTCTGTTATTTTCTGTTATTTTACTGTAATTTGTGTTATTTTACTGTATTTTCTGTTATTTTACTGTATTTTCTGTTATTTCACTGTAATTTTCTGTTATTTTACTGTAATTTTCTGTTATTTTACCTGTTATTTTACTGTAATTTTCTGTTATTTTATCTGTTATTTTACTGTATTTTCTGTTATTTTCTGTTAATTTACTGTAATTTCTGTTATTTTACTGTAATTTCTGTTATTTTACTGTAATTATCTGGTATTTTACTGTTATTTTCTGTTATTTACTGTAACTTTCTGTTATTTTATTGTATTTTCTGTTATTTTCTGTCATTTTACTGTAATTTGTGTTATTTTACTGTATTTTCTGTCATTTTACTGTAATTTGTGTTATTTCACTGTATTTTCTGTTATTTTCTGTCATTTTACTGTAATTTGTGTTATTTTACTGTATTTTCTGTTATTTTACTGTATTTTGTGTTATTTTACTGTAATTCGTGTTATTTTACTGTAATTTCTGTTATTTCACTGTAATTTTCTGTTATATTACTGTATTTTGTTGGCGTCCAGCGGCTGAAATATTACTGGGTTGTTTGTAGTTTTTATATTGTTATTCCTGTTCTAACTTTTTAATGCTTGCACTGTACTGCACCTTATAACTCTGAAAGGTTTATTGTAATTAAAGTTTATTATCTAATTGAATCAATCCTCCATTTGGCTGAGAAATGATACTGAAATATAACAGAAAACAACCTTTATATTCATATAAAATGTGTATTTATTTGGTCAAATATGGAATAAAATTCCAAATTAAAATAATAAATAAATAATAATAAAACAATGATTTTGTTGTTTTATTATTATTATTATTATTCATTTATTATCATCCTTTTACTGTACTAGTACCGTATTTATTACAGTGAGGTTCTGCCAACTAAAGTTTACAGTGAAACTTTCTTCTTTACTTAATGATTATTTTAATGGCTTAGCTTTCTTATTTAAATCCTGTTTGTTTTTATTTGTTGTTGTTTCCTGAGTAAATGAAGTTGAAGTGAGTTAAATGAACCCAGTGGAGGCTTTTGTTCTGTACCTGTTATAAATAAAGTTGGTTTAAAGGCCCAGTGTGAGCAGAGGAACAGAGTTTAACTGTTGGACTACAATTGTCTCGCTTTCACTGTCCCACACTGACATCTAGTGGTCATAAACAGTTGGTGCAACTTCTGATGGACAGGTTTACTGCAGCTCTCAGACAGAAAGACAATGTTGTTATAAATAGAAATGTTCTGTGTATTTATGATTTAATGCTGATTTCTATGACGTGTATCCACAAATGTAACCGGCTCAATCTGAACATCTTCTGACCTCCGTAGGATCGATTAATGTAACTCACATAATCTGATGGAGAAACATGGGATTTTGTTTTATTTATTAGAAAGAGTTTTATTTATTTACGGTGCTCTTCGTCCACTGTGATTTGGAGGCTGTGACACTGTAAGGTGATGTTAATGCAGGTGGAGAACAATTCAGATAACGTCTCAATGTCAGGAAGCGTTTTCAGAATTTTCCTGTAAATGTTTTATAGAGAATGAAATAGTGTGCAGGAATTTATCTTTGCAACTTTTTGACCTTCTCATGTGTACACACCTGTAATATATAAAATATATGTAAAATACATATGATTTAAAGAGGAATAGCAATAAATTAGCATTTCTCATATCCTTTAATGACTAATGTTACATTCCTGTGTTTAGACACCTGGATCATGCCGCCGCTGTCCTCCTCCTCCGTCCTCCGTCCTCCTCCTCCGTCCTCCGCTCACTCAACAACCATCAGCGGCCGGACTGCATCGACATCCTCCGTGAAACTGGACTACTTCGCCGTCCTCCACACAGAGGCTCTGGTTCAACTCCTAACTCTATCCCATCCATCACCGCAACGTCCTCATTACGTCATCACAACAAATGACATGTGCACCTTTCTAATCTCCGCCCCCTTCCTCGGTCCTCAGCAACGTCACCTGAAACTGGCTTTGCTCAACACCCGCTCACTTAACAATAAAAGTCTCATTCTGAATGAATTCATAAGTGACAATAACCTGGATTTCCTCTGTATCACTGAGACCTGGCACAAGCCTCTGGACTACTTTTTGCTCAACCAGACCACACCCACCGGATACACTTACATTGACAAACCCCGACCTGAGGGGCGGGGAGGTGGTGTAGCAGCAATCTACAGGGAGGACATCAAAACATCCACCATGTCCATCCCTGCTGCTCACTCCTTTGAACACCTCACGTTCAAACTCTCTGGTCCCACTCCTCTGGTCACTGCCATCATCGACCGCCCCCCCAAACCAAACCCCTCCTTTCTCTCCGACTTCTCTGACTTTCTAACTCAGTTATCTGCCATCTCACCTTCCGTTCTTCTTCTGGGAGATTTCAACATCCACATTGACACTGACTGCAAATCTGCCACTGAATTCCTGGAACTACTACACTGCTTCAACTTCACCCAACATGTCAACTTTCCCACCCACAGCCGCGGTCACATCCTGGATCTGGTCTGCTCCACTGGTCTCACCTTACCTCACCTCTCCAGCTTCAACCTCAACATCTCCGACCACCTGGCAATCATCACGGACATTGACATCCCCATTCCCACCATTAAGGATAAACGGACAATATCCTTCAGAAACCTCAAATCCATCTCCCCTTCAGCTCTTTCTGCCTCTCTTGCAAGTAAAATATCTTCCTCCCCCCCACCGCTGACTGACAACCCCTCTGAACTCACCAAATTCTACAACGAAACACTCTCCTCCTGTCTCAATCAGCTGGCCCCCATTAAAACCAAAACCGTCTCATTCACCCACTCTGCCCCCTGGTACACTCCTGAACTGCACAAAATGAAATCACGCAAACGACAACTTGAAAGACTTTACAAGAAAACCGGTTTAACTGTTCATCTCCAAACTTTTACAGATTACCTCCTGCAGTACAAGGATGCCCTCAACACCACCCGGTCCACCTACTACTCTCACCTCATTCACGCTGGCTCCACCAACCCCAAGGCTCTGTTTTCTACAGTAAATAAACTCCTCAAGCCCAGCGACAATACCTCCAAGTCATTCACCACTGACAAATGCAATTCCTTTCTTTCATTCTTTCAATCAAAAATCGACACCATTTATAACAACCTGTCCTCCGCTCCTCCCCTCTGCTCAAATGAACTGTTCGAACCATTTCAATCCGGTTTCCGCTCCCAACACAGCACTGAAACAGCCCTCCTGAAAGTCACCAACGACATCCTCCTCTCCACTGACTCCGGCCACCTCACCATCCTTATCCTCCTGGACCTCACCGCAGCCTTTGACACCAATCAACCATACCATTCTCCTCTCCCGCCTTGAGTCCTCTCTCAGCATCACTGGCAATGCACTCTCCTGGCTCAAATCTTACCTCACAGACCAACAACAATTCATCCATATCAACAACTGCACCTCCTCCACTGCTCCCCTGTCCCAAGGCGTCCCCCAGGGTTCGGTGCTTGGTCCTCTCCTCTTCATACTTTACCTGCTCCCCATTGGCAACATCATTCGCCACCATGGTCTCCACTTCCACTGTTATGCCGATGACGTCCAGCTTTATATCTCTACCAAATCCATCACCCCGGCCACTCACTCCACTCTCTCCAACTGCCTCACCGACATCAAATCCTGGATGCATTCCAACTTCCTCAAACTCAACTGTGACAAATCAGACCTTATCATTATCGGCCCCAAATCCCTCACCAAAACCACAGACAGTTTCCACCACACCATTGACAACTCCACCCTGTCTCCATCCCCCCACAGTCGCAACCTTGGAGTCATCTTTGACAATAACCTCTCCTTTGAACATCACATAAACCAAATCACCAGAACTGCCTTCTTCCATCTCAAGAACATTGCCCGTCTTCGCCCATCACTCTCCTTCTCTGCTGCTGAAACCCTCATCCACGCCTTCATCGCCTCCAGAATCGACTACTGCAACAGCATCCTCTATGGCACACCATCCAAAACTCTAAATAAGCTACAGTACATCCAAAACTCCGCTGCACGTATGCTCACCCACGCCCACACCCGTGATCACATCACTCCCGTCCTCCACAGAACCTCCACTGGCTCCCAGTTCCACAGCGCATTCAGTTCAAAATCCTCCTCCTTACACACAAAGCCCTCCATAACCAGGCTCCTTCCTACCTCACTGACCTGCTCCATCGCCACAATCCATCCCGTAGCCTCCGCTCATCTGAAGCAAACCTTCTGACTCCTCCACCCCGAACCAAGCACCGAACCCGGGGCGACAGAGCCTTCTCTGTAGCTGCCCCCTCCCTCTGGAACTCTCTCCCCAAACACATCCATGACTGTGCCGACCCTCCAACATTCAAATCACAGACACAAACTCACCTTTTTAAAATTGCTTTTAATGTTTAGCTTAGTCTGATGTGTTTTTAATGTTTTTACTATTTGATGTTGTTTTGCTGCTTTTATGTTTTATATGTAAAGCATCAGACTTTAATAAAGCCTTCCCAAACACACAAAAACGTGACTCTTAAATACAATTATAATTTAACTGCAGGTCTCTATTAATTAAATACACAATTATAATATAAACAGGATCATTGTACTTTCTTTACTGAGAGCTTGTTCAATGTAGAGACTCGTTTTCCAGTTCAACACCTGGGAACCAAAAATCCTGGAAATAATCTGAGTTGTTCTGGAACATTTGAGCTGTATTTTAACCTGTTAAAGCTGAACTGTAAACTGAATATTAAAGCAACATTATGTAACTTTTCCATCTTAAAATAAAACACTGTTAGTTTGATGTAACAGGGTGAGCGGTTCCTCTGTACTCCTGCTCTCACCCTTTCTGTAGCCTTTGGTGGGAAGAGTTTCCTGATGTTAGGTAGCACCGGAGCTCTGGACCACCGCGAGAGGTCTTCAGTTTAAATAGAGTTGAGTCTCAGTGTCTTTTTCATCATATTACTTCTGTCCTGTGAAAGCACCAGTCTTAATGTTGGGATGTAAAAATAAATAAATAATAGGCTAATAATAACCAATAATTAACTCCACTTAAAACTAAAGTAACGAGTCTGTTTTTAAAATAGAAGAAGTATAAAGTTCAGATATTTGTGTTAAATAAAAAAATAAATACCCCTCAAAGAACTAGTTAAGTACACTAACAATGTATTTGTGCTGCTAACAGGAAGGACGAGGTTTACACATTTTATTGCTCTTGTTGTTTGAAGCAGGACAGATAAAGTGATTTTACAGGCTAAAGTTATATAGTTAAATATAGATGTACTTTTTTACTTTAGCATCTATATTATATATATATTTAACTTTTACATACAACAGTAAATGTATCAATGACCAATACAACCACCTTTTATGTGTCATAAAGGAACAGAAACGTGTTTTATAAAGACTATAGAGCCAGAATGTAGATCAGCAGGGAAACAAACTGACTTAAAAACTACAGAAACACATTATATAATAATAAATAATAAAGATGTTCAACAGCACGTTAATGCTGTACGTCTGCACAATAAACCAAAACACAACAAACTGAACAAACAAACAACAGCAAACCTCACATTCACCCACATTGGTCAACAGTCCTTAAAAACAGTTTAATTCATGTGTTCTTTTGTTGTCTTGCAAACACTTTTATTTATCTTATTTTATTTCTATATAGCAGAAACAAAACACAATCCTGTACATGTATTATACCAGATACAGTGGATCTGTAGATACTGGGCGGAGGTCACTAGAACGTAGGTAAAAGAGATAAAGTTATAATAATTATAATAATATTTATAATAAATTATTAGTTTGGAATATCTAAAAAATATTCTTCTTAGTATTCTTCATGTATTTGACTTTCCTTGGAGAGACAATAATATATATTTCATATTTTTAACAATGTATAACAACAGAGAAATTAAAGAGGCTGAAAATACCTTTTATAGACTTTATTATTATTATTATTATTAATTATTATTATTATTATTATTATTATAATAATAATAATAATAATAATAATAATAATAAAAACACAGCAGACTCAAATGTCAGTGCTGGAGTCTGTTTATCACTTTTAATGATGAATATTTATATTATTTGTCACCTAAAGCTCAAAATCAGGACAAATAAATCTTAATACATCAAAGTGTCAGAAAACCTTGAACAGGACAGAAAGAAGCAATATGAGAGGAAAGTGAAGGAAAAGAGGAAGTAAAGAAAGAGAAAAGAGGAAGACAGGGAGGAAGACAGGTGATGTTGTTTATGAATCATTCATTCACTTCAGGAGGTTCAGAAGAGCTTCAGTGATGAAGAGGAAGGAGGGAAGGGAGGAAGGAAAGGAGGCGAGGGAAGGGGATGAAGGGGAGGTAGGAGGAGTAAATCAGTGTTGGAGACTCTGATGCGGAAGAAGAATCAGCCTCGGAGAAGGAAGAAGAAACCCGAAATGAAAGCGGCCCCCCTCCGGCTGCCTTCACACTTGTTGAATAACGTTTATATCCGGAGCCCTGCGGCGGCTTTCGGACGTTTTCCCACCCGGGTTCTCACCTCTTTCTCTCGGATGTGGAGCTGCTGCTTTCAGGCTGAATGGCTGACTGAAAATAACATCATTCATCAATTTCATTCACTTCAAAACCGCCGCGGACACACACTCAGCATCCAGCTTTACCGGATCGATATTTCATCTATTATTCATCCAGCTTCCCGAGCGGGGGAGCTCCGGGAATCACGCCGAGCGCGGCGCCCCGTGCTCCGCGTCGCGCCGCTGGGTGGCACCGCTGTCTCCGGGCGGAGGGACTCTGATCTCGGCGTGGTGGACGATCTCCACCGCGAGATGACGACGTCGAAGAGGCTTTAAACCAGATTATTACGGCCTCCCCGTAACACCCGCGGTTTGTTTTAGTAATGTGGATACACGGTAAATATTTCAGGTTTAATATTTAGACAGTTTTTAGGCGGGGAGCTTTTGGGAGACACGCCGGCCGCAGCGCTCTCTCTGCCGGGCAGCACCGCTGGGTGGCACCGCTGGGTCCAGCCGGTGGGATGACTCTCTACCGGCGGTTAACGACGTCACATTTACAAGAAAACTAATCTCGTTTGGTTCACAAAGTCGTGAGCTGGTTGCCTGCTCTGTATTTCTGGACCTGGCTGAGGCTTCTGCAGCGGGGGAAGCTCCAGGACGCACACCGAGCAGGGCGCGCTGTCGCCGGGCTGAGCCGCTGAGTCCGGCCCGGTGGGATGTCTCCTCATTGGGGGTGGAATATTTTCTAGAGATCCAGGATTTGTCTGCACCAGTGCAGTAGGTATACCCAGTGTTGTCGCCCTCCTGTCGGTGTGTTTGTGTGTTGGAGGACATGGCGGACTCCGGCCGGGCCAGACCGGCGGACCCCGACCCCGCGGACAGCCGGGCAGAGAGCCCCATGGCCGTGAGGAAGAGGGCACAGCAGTCTCCCGGTGTCCGGCCCAAGTACCAGAGCTCCGCACCGGGCCACTGCCTGAAGAAAGTCACCCTGACCAAACCCACCTACTGCCACAGCTGCAGCGACTTCATCTGGGGGCTCATCGGCTTCCTGTGTGAAGGTAAGACCACAACAGAGTATCTGGTGTTTTATTTATAATCTATAATCAATTATTGATGGTAAAGTCATGTTCTACATCAGTGCATTAACTGGGCCTCCCACTGGGGTTCGAACCGCCAACCCTGCTGCTGCTGCCGCTGCCTGGTTCTGTAAAGTGTTTCTACTTCCAGTCAGGCTTCTACCTGCAGTTCTGATTAACATGGAGCTGGTCTCTGGGACTGGATCCAGACTGGATCCAGTCTGGATCACAGACCAGGATCAGGATCAGGATCAGGATCAGGATCAGGACCAGGATCAGGACCAGGACCAGGATCAGCTGTAGTTCTGTGTCATTGTACTCAAAGTCATTCAGCATCATCTGCAACCAGGAAGTCATCTGTCCTTTTCTGTTCTTCTGCTTCTCTTCCTTCCTCATCCTTTCCTCCTGTTTCCTTCTTTCTCTTTATTATTCTCTCTTTCTTTTATTTTACTTTTACCAATCTTCTGTTTCTTTCCCTTTTCCACCTTTTATTTCTTGTCCTTTTCTTGTGCTTCCCTTTTTATTTCCTTCCTGTTCCTCTTTTCTTTCATTACCTCCTCTTTTGTTTCCTTTCTTTCCTGTTTCTTGTTTCTTTTCTGTTTTGTTGTTTCCTTTCCTTCAGTTTCTTTTAGTTTCTTTCCCACTGAGCCTCGACTTAATCATGAATTCAACAGGCGAACTGAGGCAGCTCCAAGACAACACACACACACACACACACACACACACAGACACACACACACACACACACACACACACACACACACACAACACAACACCAAAAAAAACAAACACACACACAACACACGAACTGGACAACCAGTGGGTTACTGGGCAGAGTGGAGTGTGTGTGTGTGTGTGTGTGTGTGTGTGTGTGTGTGTGTGTGTGTGTGTGTGTGTGAAGTGTTGCGCAATCAGAGCTGCAGTCAAGTCGTGATTTACTTCCTCCGGTTGTCATGGCAACAGGAGATGTGTTTGTGTGTGACCGGGAGCAGAGACATGACCATCAACATCATCATCATCATCATCATCGACAGCTGCAGACGCATTAAAAGCTGCAGCACAACAACAACAACAACAACAACAACAACAACAACATTACGCAACCTTTCCTTCTTTAAGCCGTCACTTGGATTAACGCTGTGATGTCATCTGCCTGAGAATATTTCCCGCCACAATAAAACATCACCAACACATTAATGAGCTCACTCACCTCTTAAAGGAGAATTACACTTTATTACAACCTACTCTGGTTGTTTTATCCTCCATTAACTGACTGCGGTAGTGACGTCATCATCAGCGACGTCATCATTAATGATGTCACTGATGATGAGGTCATTAATGATGACGTCACTGATGGTAGTAACGTGGACGTGCAGCCAGAGGAGAGTTACAGAGGATCCTTTGTGCTTTGTTGTTGTCGCTGTTTGAGGCCGAGGGGAGTCCTGTAGGACAACAACTGATTGGTTTCATTAAGATTTTCAATTAATTGATTTATAATTAATAATTTCTTCCATTGAATGTCAGAGGAAAAACATGTAGAAAATGTCGGTCATGATTTTCAACAGCCCAAAGTGACGTTTGATCGACCAACAGTCCAAAACTATGGAGGTCCTAAAGTCCCGTAATCTGATAATTATCTTCATTCAAGATAAAAACTTTTCTCACAACATTACCTTGTTGGCACAATATTAATATTTAATTTCTTTAAGGCCTCCAAAGTTTTAAAATGTCACCTCAGGCTCTTAAAAATGGTGACTGACTTTTTTACTTCCTCTGACTTAAGAGAGAATATTTGATAATACATATTTAACTGTTATTATCATTTATTTATTACAGTTATTTTCTGTTGTTCCATTAATACATTAGTGTGTGTGTGTGTGTGTGTGTGTGTGTCACACTGACATTTGAACTCTGTGTGAATAAAACCAGTCGACTCTAAAACGTGTCGTTCAGGAAATGAAGTTGTGACTGTGTTTGAGTCAGTCGTATTAATTCTCTGTATCAGATGGTCTCCTGGAATATAAACAGGCTGATCTGGTTCTCCGAGCTGAGGGTGGTGAGCTGAAACTGATGATGAACTCAGTGTGTGAAACTGGTCAGAGCCAACCTGAGGTTCACCGCGGTGTGACAGAGCAAACAAAAAGCTCCACAACCCCCCCGTCAGTGGTGGAGGGTGTCGATGCAGTAACACTCGTATTTAACCGAAACACTTTCTAGACATTTTTATCTAAAGTGCCTCCAGTTAAAAGCTTTACTCTGTTTCATGATATCCTTTATTCTGTATTAAAGTGGCTCAAGTAGGAACCCTGAACCCCGCGTTTATCTGAACTCTGCACAGTTTCCTCCTTTTGTCCTGATGACAATAAAGACATTCTTTAAATAATCGCAAAGAGAAGACAGAAAGCTGTTCCTTCTTTTAATGAGTGTTCACTGAACGACACCTCGGCTATCAATACCACATGTCTACAGTACGTGTGACTCCTCTGCACGACAGGCCATTATAATAGTTATTAATTATAATAGACCCACAGCAACTGAGGGACAACAACCACTCGGGTTTCAATAAGGATGTTATGTGACTAACAAGTTACAGCAAAATGTACTTAAAGTATTAAAAGTAAAAGTACTCATTATGCAAACTGGCATAAAGTTTGGAGCCTTTAACGTCCTGAAAGATGATCTGTTGTTTTATCTTACGAACACAGGATAATCATTTGTACAAGTTATTATCATGTGGACAAGTACACGTAAATCCCAGCAGAGCTAAAAGTACCTGCTTTAACCTATAACAACATTCTATTTTCTATTTATTTTACAGGAATATCTGGAGTCACTTTTCCAACGTGGTTGAGACCTCAGCATAAAGTTTCAGTGGAGTTCCTTGTAGGGGCTTTAAATTGTACAACAGAGTCTCTAATGGTAGCAGACAGATGTATGTCGTCTCATGGTGTCATCGTACCCCCCCCCCTTAATGTCCATCACACACACAGATAGTTTACAGTTTCTTTATCGTGTCTTCAGTTCGGGTTGAGTTCTGACTTATTTTCACATTTTGAAAGCTGAAGTGAAATCTGATATATTTTTACATTTATTATGAACTTTAAACCAACTGAACACCATAGAATGATGGTGAGCAGCACTGTGTACCTGCAGGGAGTCGAACCTGTACCCAGCAGGGTGTTAGTGCCTTGCTCAGCGGCCTCTGACTGTTCCCTCTGTCTCCTCCTCAGTGTGTAACTTCATGTGTCACGAGAAATGCCTGAAGACGCTGCGTTCAGTTTGTTCCTGCATGACTCCATCTTTGGTGCGGGTGAGTAATGAGCGGCCTCACAGACAACCTTAACGCACCAACATGATGTTTATTGATCGGCACAGCCCGATCACTGAGCCCGACTGACTGCTGCACGATCAATAAAGCAGCAATAAACACCGACAGCAGCAACAGAGCGGGCTGGTGTTCACTGCTCTCATCAGAGATTAAAGTATGAATGTTTCATTATCATATCTGATGTTTCTGGAAGAATCTTGCTGCTGTAGATGTTTATTTTATAATGAAGTTTAAAGTAAAAAACCTCATTTATACCGAAAGGTTCCATATGTATAATCAGTGTGTATAATCAGTGTGTATAATCAGTGTGTATAATCAGTGTGTATAATCAGTGTGTATAATCAGTGTGTATAATCAGTGTGTATAATCAGTGTGTATAATCTGTGTGTGTGAGCAGAGAGTGACCGGGTTGTAGTGTAGTGACTTCCTCTACTGCCTATGGAATAGCTACCTTAGGTTGCTAGAGGCAAATTCTATAGATATTTCTCCCCCAAACTCCTTCTCCCAAGAAGCTTTAAGAGGTCACATGAGGGCACACCCGTGTTTTGGATCACATACAGTCTAGAGATTGATCCTCTTAAATATGAATCCATATCGAACCCAAAGGTTAGAGGTGAAGTCTCGGATTTGTAGATACCTGAAGAAATGAGACTGAGGGACACTGCACGCTCTCAATGCTCAAAGGGGGCTGTCTTTATTTCAGGCGTGGTGGGTCGCCTCCACAATATGCAGGTCACCTGTGTTTCTGTAAAATAATACCATATTTTTGGGGATATAATTTAAACAAAATATTCCAACAGCTCAATGTATGAGTGTTAAATAAAGAATTCTTCCTCAATCAAATATTATCTGATAAAAAAAACAAGATGACATTTAAAAATATATAATAAATTTGGGTTTACTTTTTATTTGGGGTCGTGAGTTCGTCCATCAGCAGGACTTCTTAAACCAGCTGCAGGCCCCGTGAGTTCAGAGGCCCCTGGGCTCCGGCCCCGTCGCCCGCGCTTGATGTTAACATGTCACGCTCTTACATAACGTGTCATGTTGTTTTAGTGACGGCTCTTGTTGCTGTCACATTCGGGGCCGGCTCGTAACCTTTAAAGCAACATTGAACCATCGAGATTCAGTCAGAAAGAGATCTGAACTCTCTCCATCCTGTGAGTGTCCTTCTTTCTCTGGAAAACATCAAGTACGTTCATTCATTTAAATGGTTCAGTGAACAAGAACAAGACAGTCACAATGCGAGAGCAAGTCAGCAGCGGAAGAAGCACTCAGAATAGTCAGAAGTGTGTGAATGTGTGAATTTAAGAGGTCAGAAGACTAGAAAGGTGCTAAAGTACAGTCCTTTTACTATTTATCATTCATTCTGACTTTAGCTCTAGACCTGCTCTCTTGTTACTCTTGTTAGGATTCAAATAAAATCAAATTGAATTAAACTCTAAAACTTAAAACTTTGACTTTAACCTCTTTAACTTTAATCTCAGAACACAAATACAATTTCCATGTGGCCCTAATCCTCTTCCTTAGATATTTCACTTAAACATAGTACAAGAAATGTTTAATATATTTTTGGACTCCACTTTACAGGGGGGCGGCAGCCCTACAGGTGAGCTACCAGGACACCTCATATAGTTCTTAATGTCTGCAACAGGGTCGATTCCCCTTGAAGTCAATGAGACAAGGTGGTAGAAACACAACCGCTGTTGTCCACAGGGGGCGCTAGAATCAACACAGACTGAAAGTTCAGGAGCTTTCAGTAAAAGAAAGTTCATTACACTGTAAAAGTACAAATGAAAGTCCTACATACAGGTTCAGTTAAAAGTACTTATTATCCAAAATGGCGGCATTCAGAGGGTTAAATTATGGAGCCTTTCAGGTCCTAAAAGATGATATATTGTTTAGATTGAGATTGGTTATTATGGTCAGTTAATCAATAATTCATCATATTTAATAAGATCATCTGATGTTTTTGTTTGAGATGTTGGGTAAACTGGATGTGTCCAACTCGTGTTAAATTTCTCTGTATTAACATTATATTTATATATTGTATTATATATAATACCCTAATGAGTATTTACGTCCTGTTTTTAACGTTTTCTTCAGTTGTGTTAACCGGACTTTGTCGCTGCCCCCTGCAGGTCCCGGTGGCTCACTGCTTCGGTCCGGCGGGTCACAAGAAACGTTTCTGCTGCGTCTGCAGGAAGCAGACGGAGGGAAGCACAGCGCTGCGCTGCGAAGGTCAGACCAGTTTCATCTCCAGTAAAACCAGATTAACCAGAATCTGATCTGTTTATGTGTAAATATCAGTTTATGTGCGACAACACTGTGAGGGACAGTTGGAGGAAATGATTAAACACCTGAATGTATAGTTTTCTTTCCACTAGTCTGAATTTTCTTTTTTGCATTTTGGGCAAAAATAGCCCAAAATGTTAAAATTGATGAGCCTGATAAAAAGATGTTTGTGCCTGTGATGTCTCATTAATTGTTTGCTGTGATCTGAAGGTGAAAAACAGCAAAATATTATTTATTATATTAATAATTTCACTCATAAAAAGTGTTTTTATTGAAAAAGTGTTATTATAAATGTGTTACTTACATTACTGTTTACACACAGGAGACTAAACAATAAAAATATACATGCTTTGTGTGAACGGAGGAAATAAATTCATTCACATAAATATCAGATATTGTTACTAAAGGGTCAGTTCACCCAAATGATAAAAAACAGCAATCGTTTCCTCCCTCTTGTTGTTTCTGCCCGCTCAGACAATGTTTTTGGATAATTGACAGTAAACACTGGGGTCAGATTTTATTGGGAACTGTTGACAATGAGATATTGATGGATGACGAACAACAAGAACATTCAAAAGAGGAAGAATAATAATCATAAAACAAAATAAAAACTGTGTGCTAACATTCATAAAACACTGGCTTTACTAATGTAATGTGTGTGTGTGTGTGTGTGTGTGTGTGTGTGTGTGTGTGTGTGTGTTTCAGTGTGTGAGCTGCACGTCCATGCTGACTGTGCTGCGTTCAGCTGTGCCGACTGTCGCCAGTCTCACCTGGATGTCTCTCTGGAGCGGGTGAGGAGACCCCCCCCGTTTAACAATAATTCTGCTTTCTCACTAATTAATGAAACTTCTGTACCGTTGTTTTATTGTCATTGAACCTCCTGCAGAGAAGACGGTGACAGTTGAATTTGTTGTGCTATATTTTCAAAGGATCCCTCTGACCTCTGACCTCAAGATATCTGAATGAAAATGGATTCTATGGGAACCCACCAGTCTCTAAATGTGTTATTTTAGTGTAATTGAGTATTTCTGCAGACTGAGGTCCATAAACAATGTTGAATTGTATAAATTGGGTACGACTGAAGAGCTGAGACACAATCTTAATGCCACCTGCTGCCACACGCCCCCCCGTGTCCACATGCTGCCTCGTCATGTTGAGTCCATGGCAGCTACGTGTTGAAGGTTTCGTGTTACTGTAAACTAATCACACACTGAGTCATAGATAAACTCAGCACGGCTCCCACCAAAAGCAAATATTAGCCTTTTAATCCAGCTTGCAACGGCGGTATGAGCCTAAAATAAACAGATGTTTCTGTGATTTAATGTCAATAAAGTGATCAAAATGATGCTAAAACAACGACGTCATGGCGGTTTTCAACAGTCTGAATTTAGACTCTGTCGGTCTGCGAGACGAAGAGCTAACAACTTTCAAAATGCTTGTTTTCTGAATGGAGTTTGGTTGATCAGAGCTACGCTAACTTAGCTCATAGTAAAGTAAAACCGACTTTCTTCGGTATCAAACCTCCATGAGCCGTGTGGCGCTGCTGCGGCGCCACCTGCTGACTGAGTTTGTCCAATCAGCAGCTAAACTACAATAACCCACAGCTACACGCACCTGACCCTTTCACCTGGCTGATAAATCCCCACAGCTGCGACCTTTGACCTGCTGCTGAGGACTTTACAGTCGGTGAAACATTGTACTGTAAGTGTGTGTGTGTATTAATGACTGATGTGATTGTTATTGATCAGAGTTCAGTCACACTGATCAACTGACACCTGCTGCTGTCACACACTGTTTAATCAAAGACTTCCACTGAACGAAGAGCTCTGTTCAGTGTGTGCGATCAATCAGAGCTGATCGATCGGTCGCAGCCGCTGATTAAAATCAATAGCGTGAAGCTCTGATGATGGCAGGAAACCAGCAGCAGAGACGGGGTCAGACTGGTTTCCCAACTGACTGTTGAGGGAAACCAGTTGTCAAGATCCATCAGAAGATATTTGATTTATTTCTCTCAATACTTTCTGACTTCCTGTCTGTGGCTCATTGGTTCTTACTGAAGACGTGAATCATTACGTCACAGATATATAGTTTCATGTTTTAATGAAGCAGCTGCTCTCTGTAGTTTTTATCAAACAAACAGGAGGAAATATTTTCAGTTCTTTATCAGTAAACCTGTTTCAGTACTCTCACCCTGGATCTACTTTCTGTCGCTGCAGGATACGTTCCACCACCACTGGAGGGAGGGTAACCTAGCGTCAGCGGCAAGGTGCGAGGTTTGTCGGCGGTCCTGCGGTTCGTCTGACGTCATGGCGGGGATGAGGTGCGAGTGGTGCGGCATCACGGTAAGAACCAGTCCTTATAATGCTGCAATCAGGGGCCGATTAACACCTCCTGTGTGTCAGCTGGTTTGTGGTCATTTGATTATATTGCTCATTTGATGAGGAATTTGTACCAAATGAATCAGAATACAGATTACAGTTCTGTGTTATTACGTCAGCCAATGATTGTCATCGGGGATAGTGGGCGTGTCCTCCACACTTTTATAGTTTAGACTAAAGCCTCTTATTATCTAAATATTTGTGTTTTGTTCACCACAATCTAGATGAAAGAAGAAAGGAGGTGATAAAATGTTTGCTCAGACCTTTTTCACAGCATCCATTTAGTAGGGTAAATACCGGTGTTACCAGTAATACTAATTAAGGCTCTGTTCCAGTTTTATATTAATATATTATATAATAAATACGATACATGTGAAATTTGATGAAGCTGTTGTCTTTACGACTTCATTGGAACTTGGAGGTAATAGGGGCCGACAGCAGGGGCCCCAAACTGGATATAAAAAGGGAAAAAACATGAATAAGAACTACATTAAAACCACATTAAACAACTAGATTAGATGCCTAAATGATTGATTATTGATCAGTTCTGTCTGTCCGTCTGTCCCTGCAGAGCCACGCCGCGTGTTACCTCAGTGTGCCACCAGAGTGCACTCTGGGACGTCTGCGCTGCATGCTGCTGCATCCGGCCTATGTCCGCCTCGACTCCAGAAACTTCAGCAAAATGCACTGCTACCGCATCACCGAGAGCTGCAGCCACGACCTGGGTACACACACACACTCATACACACTCTCACACACACTCACAACCACACACACACACACACACACACACACACACACACACACACACACACACACAACCACATCCTCTGCGATGCTGCTGACACAAACTGCGTGAACCACAAACACTCGGCTCATTTCCTGACAGCTTCGCTCGTCTGAGCTGTGAAACTAAAAATGATGTTTTTCACAGCATCACTGACGTTAACGATGAAGACTGTTTGTGAGGCAGTTTTTTAACAACAGGTTTAATGTCTGAACGCTCGGCACGCAGAGAACTGAAAGTATATTTAAATCTTTTAGTTTAAACACACTGCATAGTGAGATTCTACCAGGAGCAGCTGGAAAAACATGTTTTTGTTGTGATTTTGGTGAACTGACCCTTTAAGAAGTTGTTTTAATTCTTGGTAAAATAGATGAAAGTGAAAGCAAATGTTTAACAATGATAAATAAATCTGTATGTGTGGTTAATTCTCTCGGTTGAAGTGTAATGTATGGCCGTAGAGACGTCTGCATTCTCTCCAATATAATTCCTAAAAATTATGTTTTGTCTGTTACAATTGGATGTTGAAGATTGAAAAACACACTATTTCTGTCCTCAATAACTTGTGGAGACCCACAGGGAAGCAACCTGGGTCCTCTGAACTTCCAATGAAGTTTAATAAACTTTGGGGCAAACTGTCCTTTTAAATTCATATATTTAAACTATACTATTAAACTATATTTATATTATTTGTTTGTCCTTCATTTAACCATCATAATTAAAAACAGTTATGAGAATAGAAACGGGTTAGAAACTGTCACACACACAACACACAGCCTCAGTTATATTCAGTTAATGTGGTCACACTTGTATTTAAGTTGCTTTGAAGAAAACGGGCTTGAGTACATTCGTTCCTCCAGATGTTGGAGATCTGTGATGAAGTGTATTAATGCCCCATCCTTGTTCCTCTCTGTTTCCTTCCATGTTTTTATTCTCAGATAACTCAGATGATGTTGATGCCTCTGCTGCTGTGTCTAAAGACAGTCAGCCAGCTGCTGCAGAGTCAGGTCAGTTCACATATATTATCATTATTATATAATTAGTATATACATTGAATTCTGGTCCAAATAAGTTTTACAAAGATCTTTAGGAGCTTTTCTGAGCAACCCACTGCAGGATTTCAGTAGAGATCTTAAATCAATCAGGCTGAATTTGGGGGGAAATGTTGATGATGATGCAGCAGACATCGGACATCAAGAGAGTAGTTTTCAGTCATGAAAACATCTGCACATTGATTACAATTAGTTAACATTTTTACCTTATTCACCTGCAGTGTCTCTGAAGAGGAAGTTGTTGCAAGATTTTACAGTGTGTGTGTGTGTGTGTGTGTGTGTGTGTGTGTGTACACAGGGAAACAGTTTCTTAAGGTGTTTGATGGCGATGATGCAGTCAAGCGCGGCTTCTTCCGTTTGGTCTCCATCCTTCGAGCCACGAGGAATGAGGAAGTGGTGGTGAGAGCTCGACCTCTTCCTTATAACACACACTAGTATTTTTACCACTACTACTACTACTACTACTACTACCACTACTACTACTACTACTACTACTACCACCACTACTACTACTACTACTACTACTACCACTACTACTACTACTACCACTACTACTACTACTACTACTACCACTACTACTACTACTACTACTACTACTACTACTACCACTACTACCACTACTACTACTACTATTACTACTACTACTACCACTACAACTACTACTGCCACTGCCACTACTACTGCTGCTGCCGCTACTGCTGCTGCCACTGCTGCTGCTGCTGCTGCTGCCGCTGCCGCTGCTGCTGCTGCTGCTGCTGCTGCCGCTGCTGCTGCTGCTGCCGCTGCTGCTGCTGCTGCTGCTGCCGCTGCTGCTGCTGCTGTTGCTGCTGCTGCTGCTGCCGCTGCTGCCACTGCTACTGCTACTGTTACTACTACTACTGCCACTGCTACTATTGCTGCCACTGCCACTGCTGCTGCTGCTGCTACTGCTACTGCTACTACTGCTACTGCCACTACTACTACTGCTGCCACTGCTGCTACTGCTGCTGCTGCCACTACTACTACTACTACTACTACTACTGCTACTACTACTACTACTACCACTACTACTACTACTACTACTACTACTACTACTACTACTACTATTACTACCACTACTACTACTACCACTACTACTACTACTACTACTACCACTACTACTACTACTACTACTACTACTATTACTACCACTACTACTACTACCACTACTACTACTACTACTACTACTACTACTACTACTACCACTACTACCACTACTACTACTACTACTACTACCACTACTACTACTACCACTACTACTACTACTACTACCACTACTACTACTACTACTACTATTACTACTACTATTACTACTACTACCACTACTATTACTATTACTATTACTACTACTACTACAAATGACATGAAACCCAGTGAACTGCATCCTGGGCGTCGGCCAACAAACACTGAACGCTGTAAAATAACTGACAATCATATTTAGAATAACGTTACTATCTGCAATGATCCTACATTTTATTAGGACCATTAGCTCCATGCTACTAACTAGCTCGCTGTTTACAAATCAGCCCATCAGCAAACACCACGAAGCAACCAACGCCAGACTCACACCGCAACGCCAAGACACAGCTAGTTGGACAACCCCAGTTAGCTTAGCTACAGATAGCTTGCTGGAGGCCTAAACTGAAATTAGATTTATGTTTTGTGTAATTAATTTTAATAAAACATATGCTAAAATTGAGCATCAGTCCAAGTAAAGGCTGCTAAAGACTGTCTCAACTTTATTTAAATCTCTGTGAATCTAGTTTGATATTAATATATAATATAATATAATACACTAAACATTTTTCTCAGTTCAGTTCAATAAAACAAATTGATTAGACATTTATTTAAAGAAATGTTTGGGTTTTCTTGTCTGCAGACTTCATTGTACCCCTTTCTGAAACTGTTACTACTGATGTTAGTGGCACTTGCTAAACCTGCAGTACCTGTGTCGTCCTGCAGGAGGCGGCACTGAGGGCCTTCTACCTCCCCGACGAACCTCAGGAGTACGAGCTGCACGAGCTTGGCGGTTTGCAGCGTCTCCATAGCGACGACATCCTCAACCGTAACAGTGGTTCAGACAACAGGGGCTCTCTGAAGGACGGCGGCGAGGCCTGGCTGCTGAGGGCCAAACCGCGAGACTCTGAGATCATCAAGGTGCACGCAAGCTGGCCCAGGTGAGACAGCGGAAGCCTACAGTGTCACTGTTGTCCTACCTGAGTGTTTGCAGTATGTTGATGTCCTCACCTGCTGTGTGTTTCAGGTCGGGCGCCGCTTTCGTCTCCGTCTCCGTATCTGAGAGCAGTACGGCAGCTTCAGTCCTCACTGAGGTCCTCAGTCAGCTCCACAGACAGGTGAAACCAAACTGTAAAACCTCACAGTACATTATAATAAAGTACTGCAGGTCTGCAGTGATTCCTTCACCTCCTCATCTCTAGATTTAATACAACACGTTTGTTTGGTACAGACCACTAAAAATAGTTCTTTAAGTCAAAAATTATATCTGTGATGTAAAAATGATCATTCCCACTAATCACAAATCATATCAGTCAAAATAATTCCAATATGATGTTTTTACCATATCCTGCTGCCGTACTTGTAACCAGGGGTGAAATTAGATTAAAGTTCTTGCCCGTACGTCTAAACCCAGCTTCGTAGCCTGAACACACTCAGGGTGTAGAAAGAAATTAGAACACAGATTTAAACGGTGTCAGTGCCTCGCAGTCATTTCAGAAATCAAAAACAAGAATGGGAACAATAAATCAAATGCACCCTTCCAAGCGCTGCGCATGTTCTTATAGCTGTCCGAGTAGTTGGAATAAAACTGAACGTCATGAAACATCGTGGAAACGTGGAAAAACCAGTTGGAACAGTTTAATTTTGATAAGTAGCCTAAACAACTTAAAAACTGTTAAGAACCAACTATTAAGTGCTAATTAAAAATACCTTTGATTGTAGGGGAAAAGCTAATTCCTCTCACTCAATGTACATTCGTTGCCATAACTCAATAAGATTGATACAAACAGTTTTTTTGTTGAGACTAAACATTTGTTTTTACAGTGCTGATGTGCAGATCGTAGTTATAACGCCATAAAAATGATAAAATTCTGATTAATAGCAGCTGGTTGCAGGAGGATGAAAGTGTCTCCTCATTATGAGACACTGTGTGTATTTAATGCACGAGGCACAGCAGCGTCTTCATCGATTATTTAAGTCTCCTGACACAGCGACAGATCAGTCAGGATCTGATGTTAATGAATGTTCTTCTGCACACAGAGAAACAGTCTGCACGATAACAGCCGTCAACTCCATCAGAGCTCTCGTAACAAGTTATTCCAGCAGCTAAAAGTTTCATTCTGTTCCCTCTGTCAGCCTTTATGACTACAGTTCTTATCTTTGCTGCTTAAATATGAATATTTGCTGCAGTGAGGTTACTGCGCACATGGAAACCTTTACAATGGCTGACAGCAGCTGGAGAGATCCTACTGCTACTGTAAAAGGTATAACAGCCTACAGGGACCCGTAGAGGGAGGGAAACGTTGATAGCTGTGGGTCTCGAAACCGGAGAAAATTCTCTCAGAAGGATGATTTAGGACCCGTATGGATTCGGATGATGCCAGAGCATGCCAGTCAGTACGGATTAAAACCTCCGATCTGTGCACAAACACTGGAACAGTTTTAACTGACTTTATTGCTTGTGCCATTAGTTTTTAGTTTGTATATAGTGATATTATTATAGTTTTATTCATGTTTTATTATTTATCATAAAATGGAACCAAAATGTTGATTATAAAAACAAAGTCAGCCCAATCACTACAGACCTTTACATTACTGTACAGTCTCATTTTAAATGTTTATTAAAGAACTTTCCTTCCTGTAGTCATTGTTGAACGCCAGCGTTAATACAATTTCTTTATTTTATTTTAAGGCCGTTGTTCAGTCTGCGTACATCTTCGTCTTCATCTGCCTCAGTTATTTTATCTCCTCTGTAACCTGCATAAGACAACGTGGGTTTTGGCAGGCAGCTGCTGTCCCCTCTCTCCGGCACTTCGTACCAGCACTGAATCTTTTAGTGGTACGGTGCACCAGACCGTACCGGCCTACTTTCACCCCGCCTTGTACCCCAGTGGATACTAATGCAGTGGGTAGGCAGGGTAGTGAATAGATTGTAGGGTAAATCAACTAATTTGAATTTGAATGACAGTGTATGTTGTAATGTTTTGGAAGCAAAAATGTACAAAATTAGATCATTCCTCTATAGAAATGTATGACTGCCGTCTGATTCTGTCTCATGTAAGTTTATTTAGTGAGACAGTGAACGCCACACTGCTCCTGATGTGTGTGTTTATGGACAAAGAGAGGACAAAGAGAGATCAGTCGGTGTAATGTAACCTCTGTGAGATCCAACCGCTGCCACTGAGAATGAATGAACCTTCAGTGTCCGTCAGAGCTCCTGCTGATGACTGCGTGTTGTTTCAGGAAGAAGACGCGTCCAGTTTCAGCCTTCTGGAGGTCTGCATGAGCAGCAAGCAAGGTGAGCAGTAAGGTCAAGTGTTGCTCATTTTACCTTCAGATCATCGTAACTTCATTAAAGTGGACAGAAACAGAATAAAACTCATTAAAAGCGTCTCTGTTAGTGTTTCCAACAATCACCAACTCTGGTTTGGTGGAAATAAATCCTTAATTCACCGACGTAGATGATAAAAACTGCAGTTTCATTTCATTCAGAGTAGATCCAGATTCTAATAAGAATATAATATAAGTTTTAGGTCAGACTATACTATCAGATGTTAGCAGTTTTTCAGTTAGCCACACAGCAGTTACACTGACCAGTTAGTGGATGTAAATATTTCTAAGATATATAACATCTAATGTTTGTGAGCTGCAACCTGTTTTAATTCAGTAAGCACTGAGGTTAGCACGATGCTAATTTAGCATGAGGCTAAACTGAAGAATAGGTGGTCGTGACCTCTCCTCCTTGTTTCTCCTCCAGTTCAGAGACAGACGTTGAGTCCTCAGGAGAAGATTGTGGACAAGCTGCAGGAGATCAGGAAGGTACGAGGAGATCTGACAGACTTTATTACTGCAACTGTTATGTTGTTATGCAGAGTGCTGAATTAAAATAAATGAATGAAGGGAGGTAAATAAAGTTTATTTGAGTCCAACCTTCAGACAGAAGATGTATTCCAGGTGAAATTAACATGCTTTGTCCTCCCAGGCGTCTCTGCGTCAGATGAACCAGACCCGGTTCTACATCGTGGAGAACAGGAACCGAGCGGTGCAGGTCAGCCTGCTGATTGGAGGACTGCCCCCCCTGCTGACCAAAGAGGAATACGGACAGCTGATCCAGGAACACCTGACCATCAAGAGTGAGTCTGAGCCGAATCTACCTGAGCTGTAGATAATAACACTTACATCAGACTGCAGTCGTACAGTGGTCGAAGCAGGAAGTAGCTGCAGTCGGATGGACAGTTACAGTTTATATTACAACCTGTCTGATGGGCTGACAGCTCCGGTTTCTGCACTGCAGTGGTGGAAAGTAACTAAGTACTTTTACTCAAGATATCTGAGAAAGAGTTAACAAAGACTATTTTGTTTCTGTCCAGTTTGAAGTGTGTTCTACGATTATCTGCTCAGTACAATTACTGTTTTTTTCCCAATGGAGTCTGGTGGACAAAGTATAGGAAGTATAAAGGGGCATAAAATGGAAATACTCAAATGAAGCTCAACTCCTCCGTTGGTTATTCTTAATTGAATTACTATTAATTGGTTTCTGTATCGGCCGTGAAACAAACACATCGGTGGACCTTCAGTCTCTGCCTGTTTCTGATTGGTCGGTCAGTTTGTGTGTAAACATCACTTCTTATTGAGGTCAGCTCACAGCGGGACCGCTCGTCTAACTCCTCTCCCTCCCTCTGTCTGTCTGTCCCTGTGTCTGTCTGACTGTCTGTCCCTCTGTCTGTCTGTCTCTGCAGGTCACCTGGTCACCGTCAGCCACAGCTATGCCAGTCAAGGTGAGGCGGTTGTCATGGAAACCACCATACCAGGTGGATTTTTAAGGTTGTGTGCGGTGCTGTGATCAAATATTTAAAAGTGTCGACTCTTCTGTCCTTAACCAGCTCTGACAGCGTTTTATATTTGGCTTTTTGTTTCTCTTCACGGAGGAACTGCTGCTGTGAGACTCTTTACAACTCGTCATCTGCTGTTCTGGTTCTGACTAATCTTCAATAAAACATATAAACACTGTGCACGAAGAAAGGCTGAAGCACGCCGACCTACAAACTGTCACCAAACAAAATAAGAGTTTGATTGGGTGCCTCGCCATCTAGCGGCGCCGGAATGACGACGTTATTACTGGTGAAGGTTCCTTATATGGAAGGAGATCTTAGTGTTATTCAGATTTTACATATTATGTCTGCCACATTTCAACTGATGTACTATATTATATTATATATATATATACTGTGTAATACTACAGTAGCTTAACCACTCAATCTTCATGAAGTAAATGCTGTGTGTTGAAGTTTGCCACTATTGTCGGAGCAGCTGATTAACATGATGATTTAACACATTGTTAAAAAGTAACGTTATATAGAAAGTAAACCATTAACTTCTTAGGACAGCTTGCAGTCAATTGTGTGCATACTGTAGGGAGACGTGATGGAGACTTGTTTACTCCTGGTACTTCCTGGTATTTGTGGATAGTTATTTTTAATAATCCCATGACCCATAGCTTGCAACCCTTGCTGGTTGGGATCCACAGTTGTAGCTAACACAGTCATTTATTTACATTGAGACTCACTGATAAACACTTGATGCCAGATGGGTTTTGCAAATGTTTTAAATCCCTGTAAACCCTGTCCCCTGTAGAGAGTATGAAGAGTAACTCGATCACTTATTTCTGCTGACACCGTCTCTATTAAAGTATTTATTTGTGTTGTTTATTGATTCAGGTCCAAATCTAGACATTTTAGTGCAAAGTATTAATATTAAGTATGAATATATCTATAAAACAGTCTCCACTCTGCAGACTGCGACTGCGACGTAGCTGTTAGCCACAGACACCGGAGTGTAATGTTACAATAAACAGCGTGAACGTGCTTCTAGTGAAAAGCTCCAGCAGAGTCTCTGTTGTTCCAGTGCGGACACAGATAGTCTGACAGCAGCTGGTTAGCTCCGTTAAATCTGTTACTCCTGCTATTGTGAGCAGTGGTCAGCTTTGGCATAGTTTCTGCTTTCACTCGCTGCCCCTCTATTGACACTTTTATGACAAAACTCAAGACGTACATGTTCTCAATGAGTTTTGGTTTCTTTCAGTAGTTTTATTCTGTCTCCATTTAACATTTTTGATCTTGCTTTATATTTATATATAGTCTCTTTCATTGTCAGTTATTGGTGTTACTTCTTCTCAGTGTCCTGTATTTGCTATCGCTCTGCCGTGCACTTTAGTCTGTGCAGCACTCTGATTGTTTTAAACGTTTTATATAAAGAAACTTGGATTGATTCAGCAGAATTAAGGTGGTAGCTGTATCATAGTGTGTGTGTGTGTGTGTGTGTTTGTGTTCAGGTGCGGTGGCGTTGCAGATCTCCTGTTTCTCTGAAGCTGAGCGGATCTACATGTTGGCCAAAGACACGACTGTCAACAACAAGACGCTCAGTTCTTTCGTCCTCCCAGAGATCCTGGTAAGTGACGGTCACACTGTGTGATATTTGTTGATGTGTCACTTCATACGTCCCCACTCTGACTCTGAGGTTGTACTTTCTGTCTCTCAGCACAACGAGCTGGGAGACGATGTCTGTCCCCTGCTGGTGTTCGTCAACCCAAAGAGCGGCGGTCTGAAGGGAAGAGAGCTCCTCTACAGCTTCCGGAAACTTCTCAACCCTCACCAGGTCTTTGACATTTCCAACGGAGGACCGCTGGCTGGGTGAGAGCCGCCGTCACGCCTGGAACTAATAAACTAATAAATAATCAGAATTTTAGGCATTAAAATATCGTAAATATGATTCGTATGTAAACACAGTGCAGATATTTTTAGCTGATCTGCTGCTCAGACTGTGAGAGGAGATTGATCATCAGGATGTTTTGATGAAATAAATGTTTCTGATGTTCTCCTCCGGTCCAGTCTCCACACGTTCCGGGAGGTTCCCAGGTTTCGGGTTCTGGTCTGTGGGGGTGATGGGACGGTGGGCTGGGTGCTGGGAGTACTGGAAGCTGTCCGGCACAAACTGGTCTGTCGAGAGCCGCCCATCGGCATCGTGCCTCTGGGAACAGGTCAGAACAACACCACTTTAAGTTCATCACTTAGTTCCCTGGAGGTTTAAGCAGCTGTTCTTCAGTTTAAAGTTAGCCTCATGCTAACATCAGTGTTTACAAAGGTTTATCATCACTAAATTAAAACAGGTTGCAGCTCACAAACTAATTCTTACATAGAGATTAGTTGTTGTTGATTAGGACGTTTACAAAGATTTATCTTTTAGCTTCTAAAACTGTAGTTTTTGGAAGTTATGCTAGCTTGTGATGCTACGGTGACTTCCTGTTTACGTAGTTGATTGGACAGAGCTAAAGATGTTTCCTAGCAACAGATTAACACATTAAAATCATCACGTCATTTTAACCTGATTTACTTTAGTTTTTAAGAACTTAGTGAAGGACTTATGAAGACCTGCTGGGACTCAAGAGTCCAACTAAAACCGGGTCTAAAGTCCGTCCCGTCTCGACAGGTAACGACCTGGCTCGTATCCTGCGCTGGGGAGCAGGTTACAGCGGCGAGGACCCCCACCACATCCTGGTCTCTGTCGACGAGGCTGACGAGGTTCTGATGGACAGATGGACCATCCTGCTGGACGCGCAGGACATCTCTGAGGACGGCAAGGACAACGGCTTCCTGGAGCCACCCAAGGTCCTTTATCTGAAGTCAGAACTAACATCGTATTGAGCCCCCGCTGATGTCTCTATTTGTGAGAGTCACAGAACAGAAACTGTCCTGTAGACAGAAGGAGAATCAGTTCAACATTTATGGCGTATACGTTTTTCTCAGCCGACAACCCGTCTGCAAAACTATGAAAACGTAGCCTTGATAATAAAGTCAAAGATATCTTGATTATCTCATAAATTCAGCTTTTAATGTCATAATTTTGACCTAACATGAACATTTTCTCATAACACAACTAATTTTTCCAAATAATTTAAACTTTACACTGACTCTACAGTAAATGTTCGCTCAGATTAATATTAATTTATTATTAAGAGTTGTTTTCTTTTTGTAACCTTAGAATGAGACGTTTTTATCCTTTGCTGGCGGAGTCCGCCATATTGAACCGCCATGTTTCTACAGTAGCCCAGAACAGAGAAACCAAACACTGGATCTAGTTAAGGACTTTTCAGTTTTTTCATGTGTTTTGCTGCCACCGTTACGGTGGCCCTGAGGTGCAAATCACAACGGCAAATCAGAAAACACAACGACAAATCAGAAAACACAACACAAAAAGAGAAAACACAACGGCAAATCAGAAAACACAACGACATTAACCAAACCGGAAAAGGTAGGTACCCTCGGGCGACATGAGTCGTCGCTGATTGGACAAAAGAACTGGTCCGTCCTTTGAACCGGAAACACAACACCGCCAGACCTATGCGTTCAAGTTGCCAAATCTGAAAATTCAAACCACTAAATAAGGAAAATATTGTATTAATACGTCCATGTTAATGTGGGATACCTAAGAGAGGTAGAAACAGGGCTTCCAATAGTCCATATCTATGTGTTTTCTGATTTGCCGTTGTGTTTTCTCTTTTTGTGTTGTGTTTTCTGATTTGTCGTTGTGTTTTCTGATTTGCCGTTGTGATTTGCACCTCAGGGCCACCGTACACCGTACTTTCTCCCCTTCTTAGAAAAGAGGGGTGAAGTGCCAGAGTACAGCACTAGATGTCACTAAATCCCTACACAATGGATCTTTTGTCACATTTTATTTGATGAAATGAAATTAACATGCCATTCACATACAACTACATGTAACTGTAGATATAACAGTTACTGTAACAGGTGTAACTGTCTCTTAATCTGTCAGATTGTGCAGATGAACAACTACTTTGGACTCGGCATCGACGCAGAACTTAGCCTCGACTTCCACCAGGCCCGAGAGGACGAACCCGATAAATTCACCAGCAGGTAACTTCAGTCCACTTCGGTTTGTTCGGACACAGCTGACACACGTTTCTACAAATATAGACTTTATTTGAAGCCCCACCTACAGAAACACAGAATTCGTTGTCGCTCTCTTCCGTTGTGTTGTGGTACCTGTTACCTCTCAGCCACTGTACTCACCCGCTCCCCCCACAGGTTCCATAACAAAGGAGTGTATGTGAAGGTCGGTCTGCAGAAGATCAGCTACACCCGGAGTCTCCACAAAGAGCTTCAGCTGCAGGTGGACGCTCAGAACGTCCCCTTACCCAACATAGAGGGACTGATCTTCCTCAACATCCCCAGGTAACACACACACCTGCACCGGGTCGGCCACCTGAGTAAAAACGTTGTGTAACCGGTAAAAAATATTTTATTTCTACATGTCACACTTATAATTGTAAAAACCTGACTGTGTGTAGCACAGGTCGGATTGCGGGTCTTATATTAACGGGTCGGGTCTGGATCTGACTTATCTACCTGTGTGTGTGTGTGTGTGTGTGTGTCTGTGTGTCTGTGTGTGTGTGTGTGTGTGTGTGTCTGTGTGTGTGTGTGTGTGTGTGTGTAGTTGGGGCTCTGGTGCTGATCTCTGGGGGTCAGAGGTTGATGGTCGCTATGGGAAACCGAGCATCGATGACGGGCTTCTGGAGGTGGTCGGGGTCACCGGTGTCGTCCACATGGTGAGTCCTAATAAACAACAACGTTCTGACTCAAGGGTCACTTACTAGCTTCTTCCAGAGCTTTCAACCGTGTGTGTGTGTGTGTGTGTGTGTGTGTGTGTGTGCAGGGTCAGGTGCAGAGCGGGATGCGTTCAGGGATTCGTATCGCTCAAGGGAACTACATCAGGCTGACTGTGAGTAAACCCATACCTGTCCAGGTGGACGGAGAGCCGTGGATCCAACCGCCGGGACACATCATCATCTCTGCGGCGGGACCAAAGGTACTGTTTGTCCCTGCAGGGCTTTTCCGACAGAGGAACCCATACTCTCTGGTGTATTGTGTGTTTTACCTGTAGTTTATCTGTATCTTGTGTATGTTATGTGTATTAATGTGATTTATGTTTAGTTTGTACACTGTGTGTTTACCTGTAGTCCACCTGTAGCTGAGTGTATATAATGTGTGTCTCTCTGCTGTGTCTGAAGGTCCGGATGCTGAGGAAGTCCAAGCAGAAGCAGAAGAAGTCCTCAGGTGCGAAGGACGGACGCTCTGAGAGTCCGTCCTCCAGAGACGGAGGACACTGAGCGACCACCTGGAGATCGGTGTCCGGCCTTCCGCCTGCTTCCTGCTGCAGGAAGCCGTTTTGGCGCCAGCAGCCAGCTGTGGTTTCACTCATGCAGCTTCATAGCGACGCTGACGGGCCGCAGATCGACTGAAGGAGGTCCGACTTTTACAACCTGCACATGGTGGTTCTGGATCACCTTGAGTTTTGCCCAGTTGGGATCACATTTCCATCCTGCTGACCAAGCACTTACTACAGTAACCACGCTCAATATTCAGCTACTAAAATGAACTTTTTTACTTAGAATGCAAGAGTATTTAACCGATTCACAACAGGAGTTCTGCATACATTAACAGAGTTGATATTGAATTTTGACAATTTCTCAGTATGGATAAGCTTTAGAGTTGAACAAAAAAAAAAATCAAAGTATTTAACAGAAGTTGATAAATTTCTGTCCAGATGTGACTGTATTTGTACAGTAAGTAGCAGTAGACTCAATGTCATATATATCGTTATAACTTTAGTTGTAGAAATAATGTGCAGCTAACCTCAATGTCTCAGATTATCTTTGGAGATTATGAAGAAATATACTGAAGCACTCCTGAAGAGAAGCTGTAACCACATTTATCTAAACCAGAGATCTTTCTTTCTCTCTGGTGTAAAATTCTTTGGTAACGTTGGTTTCAGACATTCACATCACAGTGAAGCTCTCCAACAAGAAATCTCTGATTCTCTGAACCCGCAGCGCCCACCGTAAACTGGAAACTTCACACGAGTGAAGGAACTAATTTAAAACATAACGGCTCAGTCTGAGCTGTGGAAAGAGCGGCAACTGAAGCTAAACTGTGAACGCCTGAAGCACAGTTTGTATTTCAGCAGATAGAAAGCTTTCACTTTTGCAACAACACAGACTTTATAAGTTTGTGTAGATCTTAATAAAAATATATATGGTTAGTCAAGCTAGCTTGCCAAAACAGAATTAAATAAAACAATAAAAATGAAAATTAGGCATATAAATGTCCTAAAATGTGAGAAGAAATTGTGACACTTCCATTACAATGCCAGATACTACCTAGAAAACGCAATACAATACTAGCTAAACTAAACTACAAACATTAGCTTGCCAAGCTAGTTTAGTAGCAAGCTAGCGTGCCAAAACAAAAATTAATCAATTTTAGAGGAAAAAAACATAATTCAAGTGGACAAATGTGGCCCTGCCATTACAGTCAGCACCAGACACTAGCTAGAAAACTAAATCCATTACTAGATCAACTAAACACATTAGCTTGCCAAGCTAGTTAGCTAGTTAGCTTGGCAAAACCAAATTAATGCAACAAATAAAGTAGTTTGTGTATTAATTAATAATCTGAAGGAGCAAGATCATATTAAACACATTATTAGTTATTTGAACAGTCACAATCAGCATTATCAGGTGTAAGATAACGACCATATCTGTGTGACAATGAAGCCCTTTAATATCCGACACTGATCTAAATATTACATTTTATTATTTGATGTTTGAGCACCGACGCTGTTATCAGTCGACAGCAGAATGTTATAGATGTAAAAGCCTGCGTGAGTTTATTTATCCGCCCCCAGTGAAGCAAAGATCATTGTTCACATTAATTGAATTTGGTGCAACGTATTTCAGTCTCCCCTTCTCGTTAGTGAGCGCTGCCCTTCAACTGCCAGTTTATACTCACACAGCCTCTGGCGGCGGCGGCGGCGGCGGAGGACTTTATGAACTTCGTCCACATTCCCGGAGATGCAGAAGGTCTTTAAAGGACAGTTTCTGGACTGGACCAGGGATCTGAAGGTCCCAGCTCTTCATGTAGCCACAACAGTATTCAATTGCTGTACTTTGGTTGTGATATTTAGTTGTTTTTTTTAAAACCAAGTTCTGCATTAACTGATTTATTTGGATGTTTTTTGGTGCTAGAAGGTAACAAACAATATGTTGTAGTTCTGTGTTTGACTTGAAATTCAAGGAAGCTGTTTTTATTCAAAGCCTCAAACCCAAGTTCATACAAACTGTAGCTTTTATTAATGGGAGGTAAATGTGATTCATGTGGATTACAGTGAAGGTTTGTGGCTTTGAATGGAGACAGATCTGAGAATGAGTGCTGATACATCAGTGGCATTAACTGTTAGCTTTCATGGACTGCTGAGCTTCCTCATGAATCGGGCTGAAGTGGACACTGTGTACTGACAGTATCTCTGTGAGTACTTTGAACTGTACAGATACTGTCACAGTGTTTTATTACATGCATGAAGTACTGTAGTGTTGTGTATTACAGCAGCGTTTTATCTCCTCTTTCTTCCGCTGGCTGTTAAACAACCACAACTGCTGGTTTTACATGTTTTATTAACTGTTTAAACTTCACATTGCGTCGATCGTTTTACAAATTATTAATTATTTTGGCCAACGTTGGTTTCAGTTCATTTCTGTGAAAATCAGCTTGCAGAGACGTTTAAAGCTAACAGACTGAGGCTAAAGCTAACAGGTCAAAACATTATGCCATTTTTCAGAAAATCAAGCAGGAGACGAACTCTAAACAAACACTATAAAAGTAATTTTTAAAATTAGATTTTCTGAATTAGAAGTAACAACTATAATATCCCACTGTCCTTAAATGCAGCAATGGCCCCTTCTTCACCATTGTCTTATAGGGCAACTTATTTTTGTCTTTTCTTGTTCACACAGGATATGAAAGTAACATCTTTTACTTAAATATAAGTTTCATAAAAACAAAACGTGACATTGTTGGACTGTGACGATTCAGCAGGAAGTGGAATCGATAAGTGAACTGGAATCAACGTAAAACCGACCAGTGTGATCGCAGGTGTGTGAACAGTTTATTAATGAGCTTCTCAGACCGAAACAAAGCTTACAATATTCTGCAGAGTCTGTTTTATGGTGTTTGTATTAATTTAAACGGTCGGGATAATTTATAGGCTATTAAATAGTTAATAACTTAGATTTTACACAAATGTTAGAAGTTTCTAGTTGGATAAAACTGATATAATACAACATTTCCTGCCATAAATAGTAATAAAGTCATTGAGTTTAAACATTTAACATTTTTAGACAGTTGACAGAATGTGATGATGGAAAATGTCAAAAAGGCCAAATTTCTGCTCTTCTTACAAAATAATCAACATGCTTTTACTCTGAAAATCGTTCCCTAAAAAGGTGGAAAGATACTTCAGTGCTCTGAAACTGCAGGTTATGATATTTAAAATGAAATATTCAGACTCATAATTTCATGTTTTTATCATTGCATCGTTCCTTTAGAGGGAAATAGTTTCTGCATATTTTTAATATTTCCTGAACCCAAAACTATGGAAGAACATTTCTGCCAGTGTGATGGAAAAAAAGTATTCTATAAGTTATTATAATGAGAAAGTTTCTCGTTATTTTCAGATAATAAGTCAACATATTGAGTTTCCATCTAAGAAGAAGAAGAAGTCATTAATTCTGTCTGTATTTATTTTGAGATACTAACTCATAAGTTAAAATATTGAGAATGTTTCTCATTCTAATTTCTTACAGGAAACTTTATTTCATCGCATTGGCAGAAATGTTCTTCCATAAAAACAGAAGATTTTTGAAAAAGTATTTTTCTTTCTTTGTTTTATTGATTGTATTTGTCGCTGAATGTTAAAAACGCTTTAACGTGATTTGTTCTGCTTCTCTGCGTCCCGTCGTGCCTCGTAGCGTCTGACTCACCTGTCCTTATTAAGCCCCGCCCGGGCGGTGGTTCGGTCTGCAGGCCGGAGTCCGTGTAGTGCCTCATCCAAACGCTTGGACACCCTCAGTGCTCTGATGTGTGTTAACGTGTGTGTTTCCTGCCGGTGCAGTGGTGTGTTACTGAGCTGATGTGCCTCCAGATGTTTTGTTGCTGTATTCAGTTTTTACCTGAGGTTTTATTGAATAGATGATTTGTATATTTTTGCAGACAGAAGCTGTTTTTTTTTTTTTTTTTTTTTGGTTTCAACTGTAAAGTTTTAAAGGTAAATTGCACTAATTGTTTTACAGATGCTCTTAGATGTGACGTTCAGGTTATTATGAATGTTGTAACAACTAAAGCTAAATATATAGTACATATAGTATATATAAATATATATATGTTTAAATAACTGATTCTTATGTGTTTAATCATAATAAAGACCATATAAGATGTCATTATTTCTGTCTGAGAAATGGAGTCAGAGCCTCCAGGTGAAGTTTCTCTTGCTGAGTTCAGGTTTTACTGAACAGATGATTTGAATATTTTTACAGACAGAAGCTTAGTTTCAACTGTAAGGTTGTAAATGTAAACTGCACTCATTGTTCTCTCAGATGTTACGTTGAGTGAATCTCATGTTTAACTCAAACTAGAGACGTCACCTACAGCTTTCTGAAGAGCTGTTGTGGAGCTCAGTGTGGAGTTCAGTGTGGAGCCGAATGGAGCCTGAAACTGCCGCCTGTCACTCAGAGTGACCACGCCCTTAATTATGCATAACTTTAATCCTTAATATCATTTAGACAGGTGAGTTGTACAGTTTTCATGAATGGGGAAATTAGTTCTGAGATCAAAAGGCTGTAAACATGTTTATTTTCTGTATTTTAATATGGGGCCTTATGGAGACTGACTCACCGCTGGAGCCAGCTTCTAGTGGACGTTAGAGGAACTGCAGGTTGCTGCTCGGTTCCTCCTGACAAACCTAAATGTGTAAAAAATATAGCTTCATGTTTAAAAAGACTACTATTGCGCCAACATCACAGACTAAAGGGATGGGCGCTCCATTGACAAAACCAATAATTTTACCAAGTAAATAAATGTAAAACTACGACGGAGTATTAGGGCCAGACTAAGAGAAAAAAAATTGTTTGGGGGGCGGGGAATTAAAGTCATAGAGAATAAAGTCATAACATTGTGAGAAAAAAAATAAAAGTCGTAATATTACGAGAATAAAGTCGTAATATTGCGAGAATAAAGTCGTAATATTACGAGAATAAAGTCATAATATTGCAAGAATAAAGTCGTAATATTACGAGAATAAAGTCATAACATTGCAAGAATAAAGTCGTAATATTGCAAGAATAAAGTCATAACATTGCAAGAATAAAGTCGTAATATTGCGAGAATAAAGTCATAACATTGCAAGAATAAAGTCGTAATATTGCGAGAATAAAGTCGTAACATTACGAGAATAAAGTCATAACATTGCGAGAATAAAGTCATAACATTGCAAGAATAAAGTCGTAATATTGCGAGAATAAAGTCGTAACATTACGAGAATAAAGTCATAACATTGCGAGAATACGACTGTACGGTACGACTGAGACAAACAGCGGCTGCTGGGCTCAGGCTGAGGCTGCTGTTTGGTTGAGCTGCTCATGTCAGATCTTGATAACTCTATCGAAGCTTTTTTCTCAGTAAAACGAAATTATTGCATTATTCTCGTATTATTACGACTTTATTCTCATAACATTATGACTTTATTCTTGTAATTTCCCCCCCAAAAATAATATTTTTTCTCTTAGTCTGGCCCTAATACTCTGTCGTATAAAACAAAGTGAACAGAAACAAAATAAAACTCAACAAAACCGTCTTTTTTAGTCTTTCCAACAATCACCAACTCTGGTTTGGTGGAGATTAAACTGGATTAAATTCCTCTATCTGGAGTTATTTAAAGTCATAAATTAATTGCAGTCTGTGTTAACAAAGAAAGAAACGTTTAAATAAAATGTTTTTATTATAAAGGTAAACACGCATAAATAAAAACACTGTTAAATGTGCTGAAAGCAAATAAATAGACTGAACCAACATTTACAGTGATTGTGTGAAAACGAACAAATACAAACTTTGTTCTAAAAAACTTTTAACATAAAAATTCTACATTTTCTGGCTCAGTCACTTTAAAGTCAAACTTCTGAAATAAAAATCTTAAATTCTTCTGAAATAAAAGTATTATTTGTCTCCTGTCAGGGTGTTTGTGTGGTGCTTGTGTTTGACCAGCAGGGGGCAGAAAGTCAACAATTTACCCCACAGCAAAGATATTTTATGATGAACAGGAGTTCTCACTCTGCACTGTCATTTCTTCTGTCAAACATCAGACTGCTGGTGTTCCTCAGGGAACTCTACTCGGCCCACTGAAGTTCAGATACATTATGTCCCTTTATTGTTTACACAGATTTATCATAGTTTTCTATTTTTTATTTGTTTCAGAGTTCAGTTTAGTTTCCAGGGCGAGTTTGCTTGTTTACTTTTTATTGTTTAAAAATGTTAAGTTTTAGTTTTTATTAGTTTCCGTTTTAGTTATTTTCTTATAACATTGGAGGTTTTTGTCTGAATAGGTATTAAAATACAAACACACTGACTCACAGTCAGTAAACATATGAACCAACTCCTCTTTGTACCAAAATGACTAAAAGACTAAAAATAAAGACATTTATTGTATTTGTTTGTTTTTAGTTTTATTTCAGAGAACCAAAATGTTTTTTCACACCTACTTTTAGTGTAGTTTTAGTTAACTATAATAACCTTGTTAACAAGAATGTTTGATTTTATAATACTTATAACAACTTATACTTATCTGTATAACCTGATGTTAGTTTAACTCAAACTGATCACAGCATGAAAAATATTTGAGTAACTAAGTTTTTATTGTTACGGTAACTTAAGTAAATTAAGATAATTAAGTTAATTCCATTCACTTAATTGGACTTAAAACTAGTAATTATATTACACTCATATGCAGAATTTTTACAAACTTGTTTAAAATGTGTTAACAGAACTTTTCAGAATAAGAAGTCAGACTAACTTAAATCCATCTTCTTTATACAAATGTTGAAGATTTCTGGCAGCCGGCGTACAGACAGTAAACAGACTGCAGATGATAATATTCACAACTGGGATTAATTTAATGAAACACTTTGTTCTGATGGACCCTGACGGACTAGAGGAATATAAATAATGGAGGAAAGGACCGTACAGACTTTATGATCCGGTCTTTCTTGTTTACAGCGCTGGTGGGTCTGAATGAATGAACGTTAAACTTTAATGTTTATAGTTTCAGTAAAATGAAGGATTGAACTGATCCAACAATGTGCAGCATCCATACTGACAGAAGGTTAAACATTAATATCTGTCACCTGTTTATATCACTCAACAGGTTTTATACACCCAAATCATTTCACATCACAGACCTGCCTTTATTAACCTGCAGCCACAGCAGGCTTTTAAAGGAGACCTGCTTCTGTTTGGGACCCTGCTTTTATTGGAGGTTTTACGGTACATTAATGAACTCTGGGTTCATGCTGAGCAACAGTCCCCAAATAATACTGCAAAGTAGAAGCCTCCATGTTGCTGTTTTTCTCGTTCTGATTCTCCAACCATGTAAAAAGGTGAATGTCTGGTTCTGACCTCGGTCTCGATGGTCAAACACCAAAAAACATTCTGGTGCAGCTGTCTGGAGTCGTAGGACGGTGAAAGTACTATAAAGTACTGAGCAACAATAAGTAACATGCACTGTAAAAAATAAATCTGTAAGTTTTTTCTGTTTTATGTTATTATTTTACTGATTTTTTTCTGTATTTTTGCCAAAACACAGAAATAACAATAAGATTACAAAAAAGATTACATGCTAATAAAATAACATGAAAAATCAGTAACTGTGAATATTAAATATAAACATACATATTTAAAGAAAATTCCTTTTTTCACATAGAAAGATTAAAATACATTTGTTCTTCTTTTTGTTTGGTTTTGTTGTGTAATTTTAATGTATTAGTTAGTTAACTGACAGATATGTTGTATAATTCTGGAAGTTGAATAAATGTTGTTTATCAGTGTATAAGCATTGGTAAACTGTCCAAATACAGTTGTTATCAGTGTAAACAGCAATAATTACTGTAATCTCACAGATAATGACTTTTATTACACTTCTATAACTTTTAACATTCACATTAAAATAATAACAGCACTCTGCTGTAAATGTAAGTCTGATTATTTGTATTATAGCAGAGTTCACCTGTATTTATAGTTCATTGTTTTACAGTGTAAATAACTTAAATTAGTCATTAAAAAAACAAAAAAATTACACACATTTTTATGTGAAGTTAAATCTAAAAACTGTTAATTAATAATAGAAAATTACTGTATTTTTACGAGTCAGTTATTTTCTGTTATTTTACTGTATGTTTTGGAGTTACTCTATGAAATACTGTAAAATTGTTCCCAAACAAAACCAAAACTTCTTCAAACAGAGCAGGTCTACTGCTTTAACCCACTCGAGCCCAAAGACTATATTTAGTATGAGAAGTAAAAATGCCATAACATTTGTTCTGGTTGGTCTAAATTCCTGAGATTTGGTACCAACATACTTTGAGTATCTAACAAATTCAAATTTATCAATGGTCAAAGTCAGGAATTTTCAAAACGGCTAAATTTGTGTTTATTAAATGTTTTCCATCACAAATATTCTTTTTAACACTCAATATGTTTGCATATGTCTGATATTTAACTTGTTATGAGTTCATAGATATCAAATACTTAAAATACTAAAACCCACTAAAACTAATGGAGAACGACCCCTCAAGCAAATGTTCTCATCTGCTGTCTGATAATAATAATAATTGTGTACAACCTTTATTTATATGTAATAAAGAGATAGGAGCCTGTCTCGTGTATACTGAAAGTAATAAATCCATAAATCTTTGTTGCTTGTTCTTTTCTTTCTTTAAAATATCAAATAAAGTTATTATGTTAAAATATAAAATACATTTATGTTAAAATATAAAATACTTATTTTAAAATATAAATAAAATAATTTTAAAACATAATTTAAAAAATATATTAAATAATGATTTTAAAATATGAAATATAAAATGATTTTAAAATATTAAATATTAAATTATTTAAAAATATAGAATAATTTTAGAAATAATTTTAAAAGATAAAATACATTTATGTTAAAATATAAAATAAAGATTTTAAAATAAAAAATAGCTCAGCTGATAGCTGATAGCTCAGTGGGTAGAGCTGGCGACCCGTGTACCGAGGCTGAGTCCTTGCTGTAGCGGCCCAGGGTTCAGATCCAGCCTGCGGCCCTTTGCTGCGTGTCATCCCCTTCCTCTGCCCCCCCTTCCTGTCTATCTTCAGGTGCCACTGTAATAAAGGCAATAAAAGCCCAAAAAATATACTTTACAAAAAGATAAAAATGATTTTAAGCTATAAAACAATGATTTTAAAATATAAAGTATAAATTACTTTAAAACATAAAGTATGAAACTATTTTAAATATATAACATAAAATTACTTTAAAACATAAAGTATAAAACTATTTTAAAATATAAAATAAAGATTTTAAAACTATTTTGAAATATAAAATAAAGATTTTAAAACTATTTTAAAATATAAAATTACTTTAAAACATAAAGCATAAAACTATTTAAAATATAAAAGATAAACTGATTTAAAATATAAAACAAAGATTTTAAAGTATATATTTTCGGGGCGGAGTGAGACCTCTTCGTGTTCGGGCTCCTCTCTGGCTGCAGTGACGTCAGAGGGAATTTCCAGTGGGGGCGGAAGTGGATGAACTTGATGAACAACTGAAACGAACTCCACCTGCAGCGGGACTCCGTCGCTCCTTCCCGGGAACTAATCGATACTTTAAAATCGCTCTAATCGATCGGATTAACGTTACTTTCTGTCCGCAATGACGCAGTGCAGCTGAGCGCGCGCTGTAGATGGACCCACTGGCTGCGCGTGGACATGAAGACCGTCACTCATAGTTCACGTTGAGAGTTGTAACCTGCCCGAGTTCTCCAGGTAAGCTCACCTGAGCGACAGGTCCTGACTCTGTGTGTCCACCGGGCTCGTGTCACCGCGACCCCCCCCACAGCAGCGCGACTCCTCACTTCCTTATGAGCCAGGTAACACACCAAACTCCGTGTTAAAAACGGGAACTTTAAGCTTTCCCTCTGGTCAGCACATATAAGAGCTCTTACATCAGAACTAACGGATCTCGTTCCCGCCGCTGGAGAGTTCGGTTTCCGTTCATCCAACATGAAGTCTGTATTTCGGTGGAAGTCAGAACTTCACTACAGTTTCAGCGTTTTCTCGGTGGCAGAAGAGGTCCGGGTGAACGGACAACCCGCAGAAAAAGCTGAAACTTTAAAGCAAAACAAAATGTTATGTGGATTTTACACTTCCCGAAAACCAGACTGGATTCACGTGACTAATATTTATTCATTTATATTCTGAAGTTCACGTTCTTTAAGGTAAAGAATGAAGAACGCTTTAATTAGCAGATTTTTGAACTGAGTTTGGTGTAACGTTCTCTGCGTACGGAACCTGCAGCGTGAAGGCTAGCTAGAAGCTAGCTAGGGCAGCTAGCGGTGAACCCCTGTAGGACGTTGTGTAGCGTGAAGCCGACCGTGAGACAGTAACGGTTGTGTGTGTGTGCTGTAGAAGAGTCAGTTCACAACAACTGTTTATCTTTTAATCGGTCGCTTTAACGACGTCAACAACAACAACAGTCCGGTAGCGCTAGCTGGCTGTTAGCCGGAGAGCTAACTGTTCGCACATGCGCGTTAGTGCTAAACAGCAACAAGTGTCAATTATTGTTTACAAATAAATAAATAATGGATCATAATAATAATAATAATATTAGATATGTAAAAGACCAGAATGCTTTAAAATGAAGAAATGTTATTATTAATTTACACTGTTGTTTAATACAATGTCATATTTTAAAAAGTTATAAATGTTAAATAATAAATATTTAATATTATACATATTTATCAGCCTTTGTATTGACCTCTGCATTACTGATCACTGGGTGTTCTTGTTTGACCTCTGAAGACAGCATGGCTGGAGACGACCACTACCTTCAGGCCTCCAACCAGGTAAACTCACCTCCAGCTGTTCTTCTTCTGTTTGTACACAACGTATAACAATATTCTTACACATCCTCAAACATTATTATTATATTATATATTATTACAACCTTTATTTCGCCTGATAAGTTGCTAAATAGATATCCGGGCTGTGTGTCAGGGTCCGGGCTGTGTGTCAGGGTCCTGGGTCCGGGCTGTGTGTCAGGGTCCGGGCTGTGTGTCAGGGTCCTGGGTCCGGGCTTTGTCCTCAGACTTTAAGTAGTTGTTAATAAACAGACGTTGTGTAATGCGTCTGAAACAGGACCATAATGATAATAAAGTGGATCCGTGTTTATGATGTGTTTCTAACTGAGCTTCCTCTTGCAGGCCTTTGATAACATCATGATAGATCAGCTGTGGGAGTTCCCACACTTCCCCGCGATGTCTCAGAGTGCGGCTCTGCGGACAGGTGAGTCACACCTCCGTTCATCCAGTGATCGATCGGCGCTCCTTTCTCCTCGTCTGCACACACCGACAGCGGCCATGTTTGTTGTTTCTAACGTTCAGCGGCTGTTAAACTCCTTTCTGAGGAATCGACGTCATTAATTCAGAAACAGAAACTGAAGTTCACAGTGGAGGTCGGGGGATTGAAACATTTCTTTCTGATGTTTATTGGCTGATCTGATCGATGGGAACCGGTTACTCACTCTGTACTCAGCTGATGTGTCATGTGACATTAACGAGGACCTGATTCACCTGATTTACTCTTTAACTGTCAGACGTAAAGCGAGCGATGGCGGCGCTGTTCTGTGTCTGCAGACTGAAAGCATCAGAAAACAATCTCAACTCACTTACTGTCATTTCTTAACAACAACAACAACAACAACAACAACAACTTCGTTTGTATCGCACCAGAGAAAGAAACACAGGAGATAAATAAATGATGTCAGTTTACATAAAGTTTAATAAAGATCAAACAGATTTAGTTTAATAGCTAGCCTAGTCGCTCCGCCCCCCCCCCCCCGTCCTTCCAGCTCCAGGTACAGACAGCTAATAACACCGCTAACTAGCAACAGGACAGGAGAAAAGGTCCGTGTTGCAACAATCCTCTGATACTTTTGGTCCCGGGGACGAGGAGCAGCTCCTGAACGCAGCGTAATGTTGGTCTGGTTTCACAGAGACTGATGGGGGGGGACAAATGAGATGTTTAAAGACATTTTATAGACCAACTGTTTGAGGTTTTTGGGGGGGCTGAGTGATATGAGTTGCCTGCAGGTGTTAAAGCAGTGTGTGTGTGTGTGTGTGTGTATATTAATATGCGTATGATGAATGTGATGAAGGTAAAGTGAAAGATGAGTTTCGTGACGTTTCTGTGATCGCTATCTGTGGCGAGCGTGGGTCGACGTCTCTGCTCTCACTTCCCCGTCTGAGTGCGAGGTGAAGACACAACGGGGGGTTGGAGGTGTGGGACGAGGGGAAAGTGTCTCCTCTCTACATTTACATGTGATTCATACGTGAAGCTTCACTTCCTCCCTCACTGACAGCAGGCTGTAGTAAAGGAGGTCAAAGGTCGATATCGGCACACACGTTTCGACACCATATCAGTGTTCCTATGCATCCTGGGAAACCTGGACAATTAGAGACTAGTTTTCTTTCCTTTGGTCAACCTGAGAGCGTCTGCTGTCTGATAGGATGAGCTGTGGTACCTGACGGCGAGCAGATCGGACGTCTTTCTAGCAAGCTTTTCGGTGTTGAGTCATCGATGTTACAGTTCGAGGGAAACTGTAGTCAGTTCGCCGGAGACGCAGCGGAACAATCAGGATTATCCCGTAGACACTGACCACCGACCTGTAAGGTTGATTAATGACTTGTTCTACGCCCTCCAGTCGATCACGTGAGCGTTTGTGAGCAGGTGTTGTCCTTTTTATTGTCAAGGAAACTCCTGGAAACTGATTCCTTAACAAGAGCGGGAGCCCTGTTCCGAGCGTTTGTTAACGTTATAAAGAAATCTCCACAGTTCGGTGTCGCTGCCTCGTAGCAGCTCAGTCTGCTTCTCTTCATCCAGGATGTTCAGGTCCAACAGGTCAGAGCGGCCACACTGTCCTCCTGAGTCGTACAGCGAGGCTTCACCGGAGAGTCGAGGTCTCGCCTGTTTTTAACGGATACTGATATGGGTTACTAGAATTAGCTCCGGCTGGGTCTGTAGATGTGTGTCAGTGGCAGCCGTTCGCTCGCCGTTCGGCCGGTGAACAGGCGGTAAATCTTGCAGCCTGTGTGGTTGTGTGTTCACTCGGTGTGACGATGGGGGAGGAAGTGGCTGCAGCAGTCAGGATGCCACAGAAGATTAATGTGAGTGACTGTGAGTGAGTGATTTTTCCCGTTAACTGACAGGCGTGGTTGGCGGGCGGCGTTTAGGGCACAGTGGACGGTTAATGGTGGTTCTGTATGTCACTGTAGTACGAGCACAACGAGGTCAGTGTCTGTTTACAGGAACAGTCCACAATGACTCCTCCTCTGTGTGTGTGTGTGTGTGTGTGTGTGTGTGTGTGTGTGTGTGTGTGTGTGTGTGTGTGTGTGTGTGTGTGTGTGTGTGTGTGTGTGTAGAGGTGGTTAGCCTAGCTTAGCACAAAGACTGGAAGCAGAAGGAATCTGCTAGCTTAGTTTTCAAAAGAGAAAAAAAATCCACTAAGTCGTCTAATTTACATGATTTTTCTCATTTACACCAATCAATTAATACTAAAATTCATCATCAACTATTGTGATAATCGATCGTTTTCAATCATTTTCTAAGAAAAAAACGTCCAAATTCTGATTTTAGCGTCTGATTGTGAACATTTTCTGGTTTCTTTCGTCGTCTGTGACAGTAAACTGATTATCTTTCGGTTATGAGACGTCACCGTGGGAGTTTGGGAAACACCGATCAACATTTTTCACCATTTTCTGGACCAAACAAATAATCGATTAATGGAGGAATTGATCAACAGGTTAATTGATAATGAAAATAATAATTAGCTGCAGTTCTAGTTTAATCCAGTACAGATAAAGCGCTAACAGTAGATCAATGATTTCAGCTCCATAACGTTGTGTTTAATCACTCTGAATGTGTCTCTGTGGTTTCAGTGGACGGACCGTTCCTGCACATCGTGGAGCAACCCAAACAGGTAAACCTCACCTGTCCTCACCTGTCCTCACCCTGTCCTCACCTATCCTCACCTGTCCTCCCTCTGCTGCCTCCTCAGAGGACATGACTGAGTATTATTACCTGGAGGTTGATTGACTTTAAAGTAACTTTAACCAAACAAATAGACAGATAAAGTTACTGTTACTGTTACAGGAAATAGTGAATGATCAGCTGTAGGTTGTCAATATATCCTGACTAATAAATGGTTTTATAGGTTTCAATCAGTAATTATAGATCAGCTGATATTTACATAGACACATAAACAACTGCAGGGTTTCCCAATAAAAAGGTTAAAATTATACTGGTGGGGAAACATGACTCAGCATTAATAATACCATGTACAGGATCTGAAATATGACTCAGCATTAATGATAACATGTACATGATCTGAAACATGACTCAGCGTTAATAATAACATGTACAGGATCTGAAATATGACTCAGCGTTAATAATAACATGTACAGGATCTGAAACATGACTCAGCATTAATGATAACATGTACATGATCTGAAACATGACTCAGCGTTAATAATAACATGTACAGGATCTGAAACATGACTCAGCGTTAATAATAACATGTACAGGATCTGAAACATGACTCAGCGTTAATAATAACATGTACAGGACTGTGTTTGTACGACTGTAGTTGTGTAACTGTGTCTGTCTCCGTGTCCCAGCGTGGCTTCAGGTTCAGGTACGGCTGTGAGGGTCCGTCTCATGGTGGTCTTCCAGGAGCCTCCAGTGAGAAGAACAGGAAGACCTACCCCACTGTCAAGGTAACACTTCCTGTTTGCTGTGCAGGATGTCCACTGTCAGCATTGAGCTGCTCCACAGATGTTGTGTTGTCTCTCTGCTGCTCTGACTTTGTCTCTGTGGAGTTTAAACTTCGATATAAACCTCCAGCTGGCTCACAGGAAGCTGGCTCACCTGCTTGGACCGTAGCTGACATCTAAACTTCATTCCGATGTGAAGTAATGAGGCTAAAAATAACCTCCAGGAAGTGATTAAACGTGTTTGATGCACGCTGAGATCTGTGAGCGCGGACTGTGGTTAAAGTTTCCTGCACAGTGAGCTACTGTGAGCTCTTATTGCAGTCGACTGTTTAAACAGTTTGTAGAGTCTCTGAGTTACGTCACATTAAAACAGATGAAGAACACATGAAATACGCTGTGATTGAGCTGAAGGCAGAAATCCTGTTGTGTTTGAAATGTGTGCCCTTTTGGGGGAAACCTCCTTATTGTTTGGTTTAAGTTCCTGTTTGTCCCAGAAGTTGTTGAAGTGTGGTTGAAAGCTCTAGAAGAAGCTGCTAATGTGTTGTAGGTATTTACTTTTGGTCACATCATCCTAATTGCTGCTCAGACAAACCTCAGTCATCCAGCCTCTTTATCTTCCTGCCACCTTATCAGCGCCTGTTAGACTCCACCTCAGGAAGCTGCTGCTGTTAGCTGGAAACCTCAGATTGACTCTAAGATGTTTCTGTAGCTCAGCAGCTTGAACCGGTCTACAGGACCGATGCTGTTCTGTCCCTGAATCACTGAGATTAACTGCAGCACACATCGTACATACACAACAAAGAGGTGGTCGGGTCTTCTTCCTGTCTTTCACCATTAACCCACAATGACACCAAAACGTCCCTCGGTTAAAGCTCCAGTGTGTCACAGTAATATAATATTAATAGGTATGTTTTCATTAGTGTTTAATCAGCTGAGAATAAGAATCATTGTGTTTGTTACCTTAGAATGAGACGTTATCTGCAGAGGGAGCGGGTCCTCCTCTGGTGGAGTCCGCCATGTTGGCCCGCCATGATCTCTTGTCTCTTTATGGTCATTTTTTGTCTCTTTATGGTCATTTTTTGTCTCTTTGTGGTTGTTTTTTGTTCCTGTGTGTCAGAAGTGTAATATGATATCCATAGGTATGTTTTCATTACTGTATGATCACCTGAAAATAAGAATTGTTGTTTTTTCATTACCTAAGAATCAGCTGTTTTATCTACAGAGGGAGCGGGTCCTCTTCTGGCAGAGTCCGCCATGTTGTACCACCATTTTCTTTCTACAGTAGGCCAGAACAGACAAACCAAAGACTATATAAGCGCTATAGGGCTGTAGATAGTGTCCTTTGGGTTTTGTGGCCAGTGTAGTTTCTCCTACACACAGCCTGTGTCTCAGCAGGTCCACCAGTCAGAAGGTTGGTGGTTCAATCTCTGGCTCCTCCTGCTGCATGTGGAAGTGTCCTTGAGCAACTTACTGAACCTGATGTTGTGTATCGGTGTGTGAATGTGTGTGAATGAGTTAGTTTCTGTTTCTGATGAGCAGTTGGCACCTTGTGTGTGAATGTGTCTGTAGTGTAAAAGACTATAAAAGAGCTATATAAGTACAGTCCACGTACCATTTACCATATAGAACATGGAACCGGACAGACAGAAAACAAAGAATAAACCACATTCAGATGTTTAAAGAGGGCTGTTCCTCATATTGAAGGTGATGATGGATTCATTACAGCACCTGTACAAAGATTGTTGGAACTTGAGTTCCTCAGAGAGAAGAGGCGTTGCTGACATTCGTTAAAGATTTCACTGTTTTAATGTTCAAACCGAAAATCTTCAGACAGACTGAGACTGAATCAACGTTGGATGTTTATTCTCTTTTCTGACGTCTTATAGACCAAACGATAAGTAAGGGATAATCACCGAGAGGCAGGGCAATAAACAGTTTGATATGCCCGGCTCGTGGACGGCTTACCGCCCGAGACAAAGTCCCGTTTATTCTACTTCTTGCTTACCAACATAATAAAACAATACAGTTGCCTTTTTCTTGTTTCGTGATTCAAGGGCCCCGTCTTCAATGGTACGCAGCTCCTCATCTGTCAGATCTTGGAAACGGGTACCCTGGGCCTTGTCTTTTGCTTTTGTCATTCCGTCGTCCTCGTCACTCTTTAACCAGTCCTCAAATGTCTTCCCTACTCCAAATAGATTCAAATTGAATTCGTAAATTTTTTTCCAACGCTACAATGTTTAGAACTATGGTGAATAACGTTAGCTCAGCTGTAGCTAATTAGTTTCTATGGCAACCACACAAGGCTGCATCTGATCACTAACGTTAGTTTAATAACGTAGTTGCTACATTGTATCTCGCTTGTGAAACTATGTATCGAATGACCCTCCGATAGATTTCCGACACATTTTAGAAACTTTTTTAAACAAGGTTTATTTTTACAATGGACCTCATGTTTGAAATTTCTGTGATAGAAAAAAAATACAAGTGGAGTATTGATCTACTATTTGATGACGCTGTGCTCACTCAGCAGCAAGTACAACAAGTAGAATAAATGGATTTAATCAAGAAAGTAAAATGAAAATCTGTGTTTCACAACCGTCTGTGGACCTCAGACATCAGAGAGGTGTCACATTTATTCTGATCATAAAAGGAGCTCGAAATGATCAATAAACAGTTTGATTAATTGTTCACGTCGTATCAGAAATCTCCCAGAAACCCCATCTGCATGTCGGTGGACCCCGCGGTGACTGGAGTCTGTGTACAGTCTGTGTTGGAGGCAGGTTTCATGTTGTTTCTGTTGATGTTTACTTTGGAGTCTGAAGCTCCCACAAGTTCCAACCAGAGGAGGCGGGAAATCCCCAAATTCCTGCTGCAGTCCAACTCTTCGTCTCTGCTCCCCGACTGCAAACCACGTCCCGACAGAGGCTGCTGTGTTGGTTGTTGTAACAGTAATTATTATTATTATTATTATTATTATTTACAATAATAATAATAATAATAATATAGAGAGGTAGTAATAGTGATAAAAGACTTGAATGAGTAAAATGAATAAATAAAAATAAATTAGTATTATAATTAAGAATATAAATAAAATTAAATAAACTAATGTAATGTGAAATTATTTGTTTTTATCTTCAAAACAAACAAACAATCTTAATTTATTTCGATATTTTCAAATATTTATTTATTCTCACACTGGTTGCGTTTAAGTCACGTGATTCACCTGCAGACTCACCTGGATGGAGGTGAAAGCTGATTTCAGATTTTTGGATAAATAAAAGATAATTTACATTAAAATCTATGTTTTTTGGACGAGCTATCACGTGAAGGAAGTGTTGTCTTCCACCTGAAGATCAGACGTCTTTATTGACGTTTTCTGAATGAGATGAAGTCATCCGAACGAACCAGGAAGTAAGGGGGTGTCTGTCTGTCTGTCTGTCTGTCTGTCTGTCTGTCTGTCTGTCTGTCTGTCTGTCTGTCTGTCTGTCTGTCTGTCTGTCTGTCTGTCTGTCTGTCTGTGTGTGTGTGTGTGTGTGTGTGTGTGTGTGTGTTTTAGATGTGTTCATGTTGTTGTTTGCAGATGGGAAAAACCCCTCCTGTTCTGGTATGACCAGTGGAACGATGATGGTGATGATTGAATCACCAAAGTCTTTATCAGAAATATGTGATGATTTCTTATATTTTTATTGATAAATCATCCCTTTAATCTATAATGAATGCTCTTTAATTGTGTGTTCTTCCACGAAGTTCTCCAGAACCTTAGAGCTGATTTATTCTCATTTATACGTCTGTAATTTACAAATAATTTCC